ACAACAAAGCTGAAGAGTAATTGAACCTGACACATTCTTAAGAAAAGGCACGAGAGTGTAAATTATAAAAATTGATGGTGGGTAGAAGAAAGAAATGTAAGACATGAGAAGACATTTGGTCAGATCCATTAATAATAATAATGTAGATGAATAAAAGGCATTCCACCAGGATGAATGTCTTGTCTTGTTTTCATCTGTTGACGGAAAACATGCCGAACCAAGTAGTCTGTAATACCTGGAAAAAGTTATTTTGTTAGTATTTTTGTCTTTCCTCATGATGGCTTAGTTCTAGAGCCGTACACAGCTGTTTTGGAATGGCCGTCGGAGAAAGATTCTTTTGGATCCAGATGGTGTAGTTACAACATCTACCAGCAGAAGCTAATTGGACCAAACTAATCAGCCAAACCTCGACCCGTTGGTCAGGATTGAATAATTCTGAGGAGAGCTTGTCCTTGTTAGAGAGCCTGGTTTGTTTGTGTCTGTCCTCCTTGATTGCGGTCCTTCACATCTTTTTCTCTCTCTCTCTCTCTCTCTCTCTCTCTCTGTCTGAGCTCCTCATTCATCTTCTCATCAACCCCCAAATTTTACTTTGTGCATTTTGACCTTTTTTAACTGGTGTGTCTAACTGATTAGCTCACTTGGCACAATTAAATGTAAGCTTAGAATGTGGATTTTAGAATGAATATAAGCCATTTAATGTAGCAACTCTATATAAATACTGCAGTTTCAAGTCAGGTGTAACAGTGAGTGCTTCAGAAACGAGGTGGAGGCTTCAAGTGCAGTATATACATTTAATAAAACAACGGAAAAAAATCCAACACAGCATAATCTAAAACAAAGGGCAACACAGGCAGAACAGAACTGAAAACAACTCACAGCACATCCACAGGCGACGAGACCAGTCAAAAGAACACAGAAAACACTAGGGCTTATATACAATAATAATATATAATAATATATAACTCTAATAATAATTAACAAACAAGACACAACTGGGAACAGTCAAACCTATGATAAGGGGAAACAGCTAACTACAAACTAAAAGTCCACACAAAAGCCAGGTGATATCATGACATGTCAGGTTTTAGAATTTATGAAAATAGATCATAATAGTCATGGGAATTGGTAGTTGAATCGGACAGTCATGCATCATATATTGTTGGAAAAGTAGGATACATCGAGCATATTTATTTCAATTGCAAAATATAGTTAGATAAAACCAGGTACAATTTATTGTAATTCTGCAGTTGGGTTTGAAAATATTATAATATAGTTATTTATAAAAAAAATTAAATAGATTCACACTTTTCAACCAGACTGATTGTTGGTCATTTAATAATAATAATAATAATAGTAATAACATCAATTATAATTATTCTTATTATTAACTACAACAACACTATTATTAGTAGTAGTAGTAGTAGTATTTCATAATAGAGTTAAGAATTGTGGTAATCATTTAGGAATTACTGTACATTTTTGGACCCTGTAAACATTAAAAAAGGTGATTTAAAAGTAAAATCTATTGATCTCTAGAGATAAGTTTATTACATTGTTTGTACTTATGTATCGTTCTGCCTTGTTAATTGGAAACACGCACACATATGCCTCTACTGTTTCGAACCAGTGCTATCATAATTCTTGCTTATAGAAGGAATATAGAGACGGTCATCTTCTTAACAGAGAAACATAAGATTCAACTCAGCCTTGCATTTCCATACTCAGAAAGCCTCCTCACTCTTTTTTTATGTCCTTCATAAATCAGAGACATTTGTTCCAAGTATATATATTCTCCAGAGGGAAGTAGTCACTGATTAGAATAAATGTGATACGGGTAGAGGATTTTAATAGTGTAAGAGCGCCTGCGTAGAAATGTGTGATTTTGTCTTTTGTTTCGGAGAGCTGATGGCATGTGAGCAGCGGCACACCCGTGAAATGGTGGGGAAAAGTCGAAAACACATTTCTGAGTAATCTCCCGTTGCATCATCCTGCAGGTCTGGTGTCGGTTTATTGTGGTTATATGGCAGTCCTTTCCAACAGGAGATTAAAGTTGGGTTACTGAGCCTGAGCCAGCGCTGGTTGTATATCCTGCTGTCTGGAGTCACTTTCCTCCTCTTTTCCCGCAAAGCACATTGTGTTTTTTAGATCCCAATCAGAGACTTTACATTCATCTTCACATATGCCGACGACGATGGAGGTCAAGGCCGGGTTAGGAGGATGAAATCATGCTGTTCCATGATGAAACAAGAGGCTTCTGACAGACTGGAATGTTCTGCTGACCAAATGACGGTGGAAGTGAACGTGGAACGAAGCGCCGGTACCATAACAGCTCTGAGGGATATTGCCGTCAGCTATGTGCAACAGCTGCAACACATACAAATCCCTTGTGACCGATAGCAACGGTCCCTATATTTCCTATTTTTGGGCCAATGGATGAGTCAGGTTTCTTCAACTTTTTTTTCTTCATTTACACTACTTCAATTGCTTCTTCTTCTTTTTTTTTAAAGAAAAAAACATATTACTACTTTTATTCAGCAAGGATACATTACTTTGAGACATTTATAATGGATATAAAAGAAATCTATTTCAAAATTTCAAGCTGTTCTTCTGGGTTTCCATTCATCAAAGAATCCTAAATATATCACAGCACAGTTGGTTTTAACGTTGACAATACTGAAGACTAGAGTAATGGCTGCTGAAAATTCAGCTTGGTCATCAACTTTTTTTTTATTGTTACATGAATATCACATTTAAACAGCTTTTTTCATGTCTTCATAATTTACTTTTGCTGCTTCTCATTTTCCTTTTATGTGTTAATTTCATTGTTTTACCCCAGAGCAAGACTTTCAATCTTGAAATAAGAAAATGCATCAATCAATCAATCAATCATAAATAAATAACATAAAAAATGCAATATTAATTGTGAGAATACATAGTTTGTAAGTTAGTGACTTGTTTACCAAGGAGACAATGTTGTCAGTGGTCAGTGAAGAGCTTGAAATGAAATAGCAGACATGTGATGTGTAAAGAAAACAGAAATTTCAAGCCAAATATCACAGATTAGCAGAATATTATTATTATGCATTGTTTCCAAATAAGTGTGAAAGCAGTATTTCATTGTGTTCCATCACCAAATTTTATTAAGTGCAATTCATCATTTGAGATGACTTTCAAGGGAAAAAATAACAGCAATGATTCATTTATGTCCACTGTTCGAAATTAAATAATGTGAACATTTGAAAACTTTTAAGAGAGTTTCTGAAGTTGAGGAAACACCCTTTTATGATTGAAAACACAACATTCGGTCATAACTGTGATTTGCTTGGTTACTAGACAGTAAACAAAAATGTTTCTTTTTTTGAAGCAATAACGTCAAGCGTGGGCAGCCAAGCAGACCACTGTTGTGAAGAGCAAACATGGCCTCCACACTCTCGATGTGTAATAACATCTCATCGCTGTCGTTCGCACAATATTGATTTGATTTCATTACACTGGAGTGACCGTCCTTTGCTCATAGCCTTTGGCGATTGTGGAGCCTCTCTCCTGGTCCCCAAGGACTCGTGCCCCTTATCCTCACATTATGAGCCTATGCGTGTGTGTGTGTGTGTGTGTGTGCAGCATGCCGAATGAGAGCCATGTGTCACAGTGCACTCAGGCCTCCTGATGAAGCCATTATTTCCTTTAGGCCTCAGGGGCCCTTAGTGAAGTTGGCATCTATTTTCTCTCTCTCAATGACTGTCAAAACTGTGCAAAAAAGAAAACTCAAGAAAAAGATGCAAAATGCCAAAGCGATGAATGATGTGTTTTGCTTGCTTTCTCCCTGCTTGACAGGATCATCTTGTTTTCTTTCATTATTTCTTTATTTCATTATTTTGTTAATGTAAGCTTAATGAAAAACATCGAAAATGTCAGACAGTAGTTAAAATCTAGAGCAGACAGCCCATTTAAACAACTTTTGTGAGTTTAATAAACACCACTTGGTGCTCATTAATATAAAAGGCATCACTCACTAAACCAAAAAAATGATGTATTTACACTGTACATTTTAAATACACTGCAACAATATTTTCACAGGATCGTCTCTGTTTGCCTTGTTTTCTTTCATTATTTCTTTATTTCATTATTTTGTTAATGTAAGCTTAATGAAAAACATTGAAAATGTCAGACAGTAGTTAAAATCTAGAGCAGACAGCCCATTTAAACAACTTTTGTGAGTTTAATAAACACCACTTGGTGCTCATTAATATAAAAGGCATCACTCACTAAACCAAAAAAATTATGTATTTACACTGTACATTTTAAATACACTGCAACAATATTTTCTTATTTTATCTTACACTGTAAAAAATGATTGTGATTTTAACAGTAAAAGACTGTAAAAATGCTACAGTAAAAACCTGTTAACTGGTTAACAGTAAGTTTCCATACTATATTCGGTGAATAAATGTAATTACATTTAATGTAATTTTACAGTAAAATACTGTTAAAAAACAGGTTTTTGGAAGTGAAAAATAAAAAGTCATTGTATAATTTACAGTGACAAACCGTAAATTGACACTCCCAGAATTCCCTGCATATTTGATGTTGTTGTTGATATAACATGTTTCTTCTTAGTTTTTTCTTATCAGTTGTGTACATTAGGGTTTAATCCTACGTCTAATGTTGTTAAATCAATGTTTATTGCATTATTTCAGTATCATGTGTGTCACCATGATGGTGTTTAGTGTTTATGTGAATGACTTTTTTTACTGTATTTTTAACATCTAAACAGCCTTAAAATAAGATTTTACGTGAAGCAGAATGGATTAAGAGAATGGACTAATTGAACAAGATGTGACTTCAGAAAATATATCTTGAATTAAGAGAGTTTCCCCATTAGCAAGACTTTCTGCTCTGTACAATCATTGTAATTTCACTACTTCATGCGAATGTTAAAGCTACTCAATTTAAAGCCCAAATAAATTTTTGCAGGTCATGTTTTCCTCTCTTTTTATTTTCAGATATTGCTAGAGGCGACTGTGGACCGCAAAGGCTACATTGCAGTTGATGACATACTCCTGTTGAACTACCCCTGTTGTGAGTAGCACATAACTGTCATTATAGTGTGGGAGTGTGTTTGAACAGCATGGAAATGTGAAGGACTATACAAATGCTGGGATCACATTAGCCTTTTCAGGGATGTAATATTGTTGTCTGTCTATGCTATTTTGAGCCAATATGCTGGATTAAAAAAAGAGAAAGGAATATGTTAAGCATTAACCATTATTGCAAGTCTTAAGTTAAAATTAGCATTGCTAACATTATTATTATTATTGCCATTGACTAAAAATGATTGGCTGGCTGATTAATATATACATATACATATACATATATATAAAACAACAACATTGTGTGTCATTTGCATTGAGATGTACTTCTCAATGGATGATGCACATTTTCTGTTTTCTAATTTTTTAATGAAATATTTTGTGTAATAACTATATTTACTATTTTTTTTCCACAGAAATGGATAAAAATACATCAGTATAAGTACTGGTATCTATGATACTTGCCTTTATTCATACTTCATAGTCAAAAGATGCTATTTATTTAATTATTTAAAATATACTGCCTTTATGCTGTTTCTACGATAATTTGGAGATTCAATGTAAAAAATATATTTGATTACAAATTTTAGGTGCCATTCATGATTAATCATGATTAATTACAGAAAAAAAATGTGATTAACTAAGCTGGCTGCTATCGCAGAATAACCTATTGGGGGTTATTCAGTGTTAACGACCTGCTGGATGCACATTATCCCACTTATTACATGGCTACTTGCCACAGAAGTAAATAATTAGACACGAAAAATTGATTCGAGTTGAAATATTTGAACGCAAAGCTTCCGTGATGAAAGCAGTTGCTAGCAAGTGGCAAGTTCAAATACCAGGATGACATAATTAAATAATTGTACCCATAATATTGATTTGAGTTGTAATATTTATTAACTAACCAAACGCAAAACTTCCATGGAGAAAAACTGTTCCTAGCAAGTGTATAGTGCCGATTTCAGTTACCCAGATGAGCCTGTGGTATGAGCTTTTACCGGTTGTTATCGAGGAGTAACATACCTCTGAATGTCATGACTGACCAATCAGAATCAAGTATTCCACAGAGCCGTTTAATCATTTTTTTTTAATCAGTTGACAGCACTAATATATAATCAATTATATTAAATGTTAATTAAATGTATATTGCGAGCATGCACTCTAGAAATTAGCGTCCACCATTTTCAAAATTCAGATAGTCAGATCAACCACTAGTTTTATAGTAGCTTTTCTAACCCGAAACTCACTTCTTTCAGCTGTGACACATCGAGATTTACACTGCTCTTATATACAGTACAACTTTCTCAAGTTCATCTACCTATGCAGGTCCAGTTCCGCACAGATTCTCCTGATGGATCTGTAAGCACACATAATTTGGATATCAAAGACCCTTTTGTACCCAAATTCACCTTTCATCCTTGTTTCAGTCTCTACACTGGCTTTTGGCTTTCAGCTCAGCAGGGTACAGCTACATTGTTACTTTGATGATGAAAAGATCTAGTTTCCGTCTTGTGTGAAAAGTCTCGGGAACAAGTTTTTTATGTAGCCCCTTCACACTTCATTCCAATTTTAAGTCTGCTTTATAAGCTTATACAGTCTCTATAGCATGATTTTGTAATATGAATGATTCATCAGTGCAAACTCCAAAGAAGTTTGTAATTTGGATAATGTTAACCAATAGCCAAATAACTATTTAGTCAACTAAATGAGACTGAATGATACATGCAACTGATTTTCTCAGGAGGAAAATCTAAGAAGCAGAAGACTTAAACAAGTCTCCATTTGCACCCCATATTTTTTTTTCTGGGAGAAACAATTGAGGTATATCAGCTAGTTCAGTTATTTTTATGCCTGTGCTACTGTTCAACATTTACTATGCTATGCTTTCATCAGTATGCTGCATATGTACTGCATTAGTTAGTGGGAACATGAACCCTGCTGGCTGCTTGCATGCTGAGATAGCCTGCTAGCTGCCGGACATGGAAGAAAACAAACAGATCAGAGTAGGGAGGAGTTGTTGTGATGGAGTGTGTGATGTGTTCGACCCTCCAGTGCTGTGAAGTCTCTGAGTGTACAGAGCTGTGATGTCTTTTATTGCCGAGGGGAGAGTAGAAATCCTTTAAACTTCCCTAATCCAGCAGAGCTAGACATTTGATTTAATATGCCGACTGAAGACTGGAAGTTAATGTTGTAATTGTTAGTAGTAAAGACCGGTTTTTATTCAAATATTTTTATGTATGACTTACAGAAATGGTAGAACTGGTTGTCATGCGATTAATTTTTTTGTATTTTGTTTTCATTTTTGGTGATTTGTGTCAGATTTTAAGGGATGAATCATTTGTATCATTTCTTTTTCACCAACCACCTATAATTTAGTTTAAAAAGGTGCTAATGTACTGCAAATCATTGTCATTCTTTTCAGCTTTTTAGACTTAGCCTTATTAAAGTAAAATTTTCTTGAAAGAATTCATACTTTTTGATTCATCAAAGATGCATAAATCTTATTCAAAGGTGACAGTAAGGTCATTTATGTTATAAAAGATTTTTTTCAAATAAATTCTGTTCTATAGAACTTTATTTATGAAAGAATCCTGAAAAATCATGGTTTCCACAAACATTTTAAGCAGCACAACTATTTTCAACATTGATAATAATAATAAATGTTTCTTGAGCACCAAATCAGCATATTACTATATTAGGGCTGTCAATAGATTAAAATGTTTTATCTAATTAATCACACCCTTCATGAAATTAAGCATAGACCATTTATCTTGTTTCAAAACAAAACAGCAAAGTAAACCAAAAGATTGAAGGGTGATTCTCAAAAATCTGTATATTTAAGCTTTTTCAAGATCAATTTAGATGTCTTTCCAAAAAAGGACTCCAAAAGGACACCAAAGAACCAAATGATATAATGAGCCCATTTAAGCACATATGAAAGAAAAAAAATCTGACTTGTATAGTAAGTGTACAGTGCAACAGCAAAGAGCTTTTTTTACATTTTAGAGAAGTTAAGCTGCAATACCGAACAGGACCACATAGTGATGACAAAAAAATCAATCTGATTGAAAACAATGTGAATGTAGGCTACGGAAATATCTGTGCCTGTGCATAAATACAATGTGCGATCAGTGCGTCAAAAGCACTCATACACGCATTATTATAACGGACTCACGCGTGCTTACTGTACGACTCCTGTACGCCACCGCAATCGTCTTTACCTTGATTGCAGTCTTCATCCATCAGAACTTTACTAGCGAGACTGGTTATCCAGTGGCGTCTCATCTGGCCATACAGCGGTGGGATGTTTTGACATTCCGTTCAGTCTGTACTTCACACAGCGCAAGTGACGTCACAGAATCACAGAATATGACACTGGAATGAATAATTCACTGAAAACGCAACGCGAGTCTCTGTTTTCTCTGCAATATCTGATGTAATCAGCCTGGTTTCCTTTATATTAGCACTGTTTTGGACGGATTGTTTGAATGCATTTGCTTACTGGATCATTGAACTGAAAACATTCCTGGAGTTTAGCAGCTTAAAATGATCTGATCGCAAGCAGAGAAGCAAAATTGGGTTAAAGGCTTAGAATAGAAATTGTACTTCAGTAATTTTGCGTTTATTGCGTTAAATTATTTTAACGCGTTAAGGATTGTAAAATTAATCACATGCGTTAACACGTTAACGTTGACAGCCCTAATATATATATATATATATATATATATATATATATGTAACATTTACTTGAACTTGTATTGATATTTTACAGTATTACTGTTTTACTGTATTGATTAAATAAATGCAGCCTTGGTGAGCATAAGACTGTTTTCTGCTGCAAGTAACATCAGAAAGCAGCTAGTAAATATGTCTATGTACATTTTCTATTGATCTTGGCATCATTCTTTTTAATCAAAAGATGATAAATGTTAGACAAGAGAGCTGTTAGCAGTCTTTTAAAGTGCATAGCATTTTGAGCTGATTCAGGTGTTTAGATCTCTAAATCTAGAGATTTAGAGGATAATGATGATATGCAATCTGAGTAAAGTACGCCAGATCGCAACACCGCTGAATGCTCCCTAACACCAAACACACAGAATCAACCTAAAATTCAAAAATTGGGAATTTGTCATGCATATTGCATTTTAGGCCATGGTTGTGTCTAATTTGCATAATTTCTGATTGAATAGTATGCTAGAACAATGCAGACTGCGTGTGTAAATAAATGACACAACGGGTGCAATTCATTCTTAGTGAATTCTCCCTTATCTGACTGGCTTTTATTAAAACAAGCTGCCTCGTATGGTAACATGTATATTTATTTGAGAGTTGTGTGCCTTTTCTAAGCTAATTCAAAAGGCTCTGACAGCACAATTATCAGCTGTAATTGTTAGCGATGTGCTGAAATGCGTTTTAGTGACCAGCCGATAGGTATAGGTGGCACACTGCAGAGATGCGGTCTTTGCTCAAAAGTTAACAATCCTTTTCACAACCTCTGAGGGACATCTTAACGCTTTCAAGGCTTCATAAAACTGTAGTGGTATTTATACATATTTAAACAGAGAAAACTGACAAAGTACTATTAGATGGTAATAAAGTGCAATTCCGAACAAGCAAATCAACAGATGATGTGGTCATGAAAGCTCATCTCTGCTGAGTCTCCTAACACCCTCTTCCTTCGCCCCCCTCCCCACTTCCTGCAGGCGGCAGATGGCATCATCTAAGCCCCACTGTGCACATTAAATAATTAAAACTCTCATCAGGACCTGGACACACATTGTCAAGAGTGGCATTGTGCCAGACTGCGGAAATCACCATTTGGCAAGACAAGTCAAAAAGGAATGGAAGGCCAAAAGAACAGAAAGAGTGAGGGAGAAGATTTCTATGTGATTCAAGAGAGGGTGTGGTTTCTTTACTTTTTTATTCTCCACGCAGTTATGTTTTTTTCATTGCTTTAGCATTGTGGCGACTGCAATATGTGACCCTGGACCACAAAACCAGTCTTAAGTCGCTGGGGTATATTTGTAGCAATAATCAAAATGTTTTCTTTTATGCCAAACATCATTAGGATATTAAGTAAAGATCATGTTCCATGAAGATATTTTGTAAATTTCCTACTGTAAATATATTAAAACTTAATTTTTGATTAGTAATATGCATTGCTAAGAACTTAATTTGGACAACTTTAAAGGCAGTTTTTTTTTTGCACCCTCAGAGTTTCAAATAGTTGTATATTGGCCAAATAGTGTCCTATCCTAACAAACCATACATCAATGGAAAGCTTATTTATTCAGCTTCTAAAAATGGACTCTTATGACTGGTTTTGTACATATTATGACACATATATACTATTCAAAGACATTAGGATGCAAACATAATATTTTAAACCTATTCAATACTTTTGCTGCAACATGTAGATTCAGTCCCTTTTCATACTTTCTTACCTTGTGATTCATGTTGGCTCATAAAAACATGAATTGAGCATCACACAGTGGCATTTCCATCGGACATGTGGCCATCTGTGGACTACAAACAATGTAGGGCCTCTGCCTGGTTTTACAAAGAAGAGAAATAATACAAGCTCAGAGTGGATGTACAAAACAGCATTCTCTGTTATATCAGACCTCATAACCTGTTTATCTGCTTTGATTGACAGATTTTAGATGTGTGCAGTGTGGGTAGGTGGTTTACGGTGATTTTATATGCATCCTGCTCAAGCAGGAAGCTATTGCCAGAGTGGAGGAAAGCCCTGTGGTCACAGAAGGCAAAATGATTTAGAACTCCAACACAGGCCAAGACAGCCTTGTTATGAAACTTACGGTATGGGTGAAAGATCATTATGCTTCTTTTATCCAACCATTACTGCATCATAAGAAAATCAGCCAAAATTTTAACATTTACATTGAAGATTATGGAATGAAGCAACCTCGCAGACAAAAGCAATAATGGTTTCTTTGAAACTGTTATCATTAAAGGAACAGTTCACACAAAAAAGAAAATTTGCTGAAAATGTATTCTCCCTCAGGCCATCCAAGATGTAGATATAGAGAATGTAGATATAGATGTAGATGAACAGAACTTTATCATTACATAACTTGCTCACCAATGGAGCTTCTTCAGTGAATGGGTGCCGTCAGAATGAGAGTTGAAACAGCTGTTAAAAACGTCAAAGTCCACAGGTAATCCAAACAACCCCAATCCATCAGTTATGTCTTTACGTGTTTGTAATAAATCCATCAAGATGGTTTCAACTTTAAACTGGTGCTCTCAGCTAAAATACAAGTCCTCTATAATAGTGCTCTCTCCAGTGAAAAAGTCATATTGTCTGAATTAAGAGAGAAATATGCACAGAATAAGCACCGTTTACAAGCAAAAGCAGTTCTAAACAAATATGTTGGTGGATTATGATGCAAGAGGACAACAGATGGACCTTTTCCCTGGAGGGAGCATTATTATGGATTATGAACTGGTATTTTGGCCAGAAGTGATGTTTAAAGTTAAAATGCCTTAATGATGGATTTGCTTATTACAAACACACAGCTTTTTACTTCACAAGACGTTAATTGATGGTCGTGTGTATTACTTGTGGATTATTGTATTTTTATAAGCGGTTTAAACTGTCATTCTGATGGCACCCATTCACTGTAGATGATCCATTGGTCAGCAGGTGATGTAATGCTAAATTTCTTCAAATCTGTTCCGATGAAAAAACAAACTCACATACATCTTCGATAGAAATCAGCACATTTTCATTTTGTTTATTCCTCTATTCCTTAATTGTTTTATGGCCAGGCACAGATGTAGGATAGATTACAACTACAGTATGTGCATATCCAAAATATATTGAAACCATATCCAACTTTTTTCCCATGAGTTTGCATTTGAATCTTTTAAAAAAAACATTCAGTTGACTTGTCGGAGCATTGAAAGTGATTTTCATCACTTACCACGCAAATAGAAAATGTTCAGTAGTTCAAAATATTAAATTCTACATAAACCATACACTGTTTAAGTAACAGTCAAACTATCAGATGAGCAGGGATGGCTGCAGTTCCCCTAGGAACTCTTCGCTATCTGAGACTGAACAGTGCTAACAACCACATGAAGCAATTTATGTTGCCTGAGGGCCTTTTTACATCTGACACCCATTCAATGAACTGGTATACAGTATATATATTAAAAAAAAGAAATCTAAAAAGTTTCATTTATGCATCCACAACTAGAGCCTTTGCAAGCCAGATAGAATAGAGAAATGTTTATTTGTGTTTACTTTTTTAACTTTTGCTCATGGCCTCCTTGTTTTAGTAGACTTTCAGCACTTGAATGAGTGGTGTATCCTCTGCCACCACCAGCCTCTTAAATTGGTTTCTTTATGCAGTATATTTTGTAATATTAAGTGCAGAATATGTATGTAATGTCTTGACAGCACTATGTCTCTTCTTAGGGGTGTTTTTGTGCACATTACATTGCGCCTTGCAGCAATCCTGCACCTGTGTTTTCTCGTGGGGATCAATATAAAGTATTCTTTATCTATGCTATTTAATCTGTTTCTTTTTTTCTTTTTATCCTGTCTAATCCAGACTCTATATATTCAGTTACAAAAAAAATTCTTCAAATTTATAGATATGACTAAAGGATAAATTCAAAAGGCCATATTGCAGTTTAGTTGAACTGAGACCTTGCAAAAATCGATTATGTTTAAAGGGAGCTCAAAGTACCAAGAACCACGTATGCTGGAGGAAGATTATCTAGACCTTATTTTGTAGGGTACAAGTGTCTCACATACAGGCAAGGAAACACCCCATATGTGGAATTATTTCACAGTGATTAACTAGTCAATCAAAGTGGAACAAATCAACATTTCTGGCCACTAAGAGATCGCCTCCCTGCATTTGAAGTCCGCATGAAATGACATTCGCAATGCATTTTACCTCAGAAAAAAGATATGTTTGAGTATTTAAATAGAGAAATGTAGGGCTGGACTTGATTGGATCATAAAAAGAGGATGTTACGTACCAGAATGGAGCCAGCTGGTGCAGGCGCAGACTTGAAGAAAAGGAAAGTCTTTTCCCCGCTTATACAAGAAATATGTATTAAAAAAGTAAAGTAGGGCTGTCATGAAACTGCACAGGTACACAAAGGCTGAGGATCCAGACGCAAAATTTTTCCAAGTCTAAAAACAGGCAAAGGTCAAAACACGGGCAATCAGTCCAAACAAAAACACCCGTGTTGACTTTAAGCTGGTTGTACAGTGTAAAAGTTGGGTTAGTGGGTTAGTACCAGTGGACTATAGGGCCTTTCGCAGCGCTTTAGTTCCAGAACTAAATGTTCAGTACTAAAGTGCTGGGACGATTTTGCGCAAACTATTTCCCAGTACCATTTAAAGGGTTGCATTCGCACCGACAGTGTGTACTAAGAAGTAACGTAAGCTGGTCGACAGCGACGTCATTTGTGCGCGGCGTTCAACAACAGAAACAAAGAAGAACAACATTAACAACAGAAGGATGGAGGACGCTGTGATCGGAGCCGTTTTTGTTGTGTCTCGCGGGTTTCACAATAATGGACATGCAAAGTCGATGTATACGTAAAGCGATTGAAAGAACGGAAAGGAGGACTAAGAATCTCCAACAACAACTGGCAGTCCTACATTTGCTACAAGTGCCTGCACTTCAGCGTCCGTCCATCTATCGCTGTTCTCCATACTTGAGAAATAAGTTGAGGGTGAGGGTGAGGGTGTTTTCGTACACGTTTGGCCAATCAATGTCTACTTACGTCATGATTAGTACCAGTTGTGCTGGTTAGACCCTGCTCCGGAGTAGGAGCTAATTTGGTTCTCGAAAAAGGCAGTTTACAGCAGCCAATACTCCAGTCTTTGTTGCCACATGATCTTTAAAAAAAATCAAAATGTTTTGTGAAAACAATGATTTTAATTAAAAGAAATTTCAATAGATTATTTGAAGCAGAAATCTTCTGTAGAATTAAAAATGTCTTTAATTTCACTTTTGATTAATTGCTGAATAAAAGTATTAATTTCCTTTAAAAAAAAAAATTCTGATCACAAACTTTTCTGATCCCAAACTGTATGTTAATAAATGATTATTTGTATATTTTCTATTATACTGATCCCCTTACGTCTTTGTTTTCAGATAAAGCCCCTCATTTTTCCCGCCTGGGAGATGTGGAGGTCAATGCTGGACAAAATGCCACTTTCCAATGTGTGGCAGCTGGACGTCCCTCTGAAGCAGAGAAGTTTCTGTTGGAGGTGAGTATAGATTTATTTTTATTTATTTTATTTTTTTGTGAGAATAATCAGGTTTTGTCAAATTCAATAATAATTAGCTAAAGGCTGAGGTTGCCGTCTGTTGTGACTTGCTGTAAGTCAACAAAATTAACACCAAACGGGCTCAAGGCACCTGAATGTTAATTTTTAAAAGGGTAGTTTTTGTAAGGAAATTTTAGGAAAATTTTTGTTCAGATTGACTTTGTTCTTAAAACTACTCCTGTTCCTCAGATGAGATCAGAGAGGCCATGTTTATGAAATCAGAATTCATTCTCTTTGTCATTTAGTTAATTAGTCTACGTTTTACCCAAAACTTTTTGGTTACCAGTTTATATTAACGTTCAATCCTCAAAGCAAAGCCATATACAGCTAAACCGCTTCGCTGTCCGTTATATAACATAATTGTTCTGAGAGCATTTTTATGCTGTAACATTGTCTTCGGAAGAAGCATTTCACACTGCCTTCGGAGAGCTGAAGTTTCTGGCATCAAAGATGGATTGGAATTAAATCAAATGAGTGATTATGTCACATCAAGGTCAAGGACAGATGCCTGTGGTTGCAAGCTGTCACAGCAACATAAGATTCTGTAATAATCAATGTCCTCAATCCCTCTGAAGTGCTCATTCCTCCCCTAAACACAGCAGGCGATATATGACTCTATTGCTTCACTTCCGTTTTATATGGACGTTTTCTTACTTGTATATAATATATATTTTTTTTTATTGGCAGCTGTGGTCCATTACAGGATGACGTTTGGTGACCTGTATATTTTACAATGTATAACTGTCATTAAATGTCTGTTCGTGTCTGTACTTTTACAGGAAAATCTTTTTACAATTTAAATTAATATTTGCATTTATTTTTGTTTCATTTTAAAGGGGTCATATGATGCTTTTTTAAAGATCATTATTTTGTGTATTTGATGTAACAGAATATGTTGACATGCTTTAATGTTCAAAAAACACATTCTTTTTCAAATACTGTACATTATTGTAAATATATACAAACTGCCGTTCAAAGGTTTGAGGCAAGTTTTCTTTTTCTTTTTTGAAAGAAATTAATGCTTTTATTTAGCAATAATAAATTTAATTGATCAGTCTTTGTCTAATAAATGCAGTTATGATTTTGTATTCAGCAAAGAGTCAGAAAAAAAGGGGTCATAGTTTCGACAAAAATATCAAACAGCACAACTGTTTTCAACATTGATAAGAAATATAATACACGCAATCAGCATAATTAAATTAAAAAATATATTCCAATATAATATTTAAATTGTGAGCTAGTAATGTTCCACAAAAGTATTTATACTGTATTTTGATCTAATAAATGCAGCCTTAGTGAGCATTAGAGACATGTTTCAAAAACATTAAAGCTTATTAATCTTACAAACCCCAAACTTTTGAATGGTAGTGCATAAATAGTCAAACTGAAAAAAAATTAAAATTATATATATATATATTATTATTATTATTATTATTTTAGTGCATTTTTACTTTTTTCCTAATTACATTTGCTGTCATTTTTAACAACAGGTGTGCTAGCTAATACCAGACAAATACATGGTCAAATGCATATGTAATGCATGGCACGCTTAGTCTAAACAGATTGTTCACAGCTCTCTTATGTTTATCCTCCGTGTTTGCCTGTCTGGCAGTTCACTGAATGTGATTGCTAGGTTGAATAAAGACAGAGTGGCTTTCACAGATGATTGTATGTTTTGCTTTGTTTTTTGCGAACCTCAAATTTGCAACCATTGCCCACACATTACCCCTGCATTCAGGTCTGGTTTGTGTGGTCTTAAACCACATTGAAAGCCTAAACACTTTAGCAGCCCCATAATAAACAAACACACATAGTTGTGTAGCAGCCGCAGACCTCCTTCTTCCGTTAGTGCTTTCCGTTAGTGTGAGTGCACTCTCAGCGCTCATTTTGTGTCCTTGGTATTCAGAGAGGGGAAAAAGGGAATGCGTTGACGTCTTGGATGGGTGCTATTCACACCACTGTCTCGCTTAAATTACCTGAGCCGCAGTGAAAGGTTGCTGTTATCAAGTGTGGTTTTGTGTGAGAGACGTGTATGGTTCCTCACAAAACTCCACATAGCAATTCCTGGTACTCAGTGATGTGCAAGACTTTCAAGACTTATTTATTTTTGGTCCTTATTCAGATGAATCATACTTTGGTGTCCAATATTGATGGCTCATCTTTCAAAATAAACTGAAGCTCTTCACTGTCATTAATGATGAATGAAATTGCGTCATTGCTGCACTTACAGTAGTATATGAAATGTTTATTTAGTCAGATTTTAAATGCAAATATTGCCATTTATTGCAATAAATGGCAATATTTGCATTTAAAATATTGCCATTTATTGCAAACCCATGAGATGTTCGTGCTGCTCTTTTCTATACAATGCAAGTGAATAGTGAAGTTATTTTAGTATTGTTTATATACAGTTATAGTACTTTTAATATTTTCAATTAGATTTTTTTTTTATATTTTAAATTCAGTTTTCGTTTCTATTTATCTTTAGCTTATTTTTAGTAATTCTGGTATTTGACCTTATTTCATTTAGTTTCCAAGGCTAATTCTAATTGAAGAGAAGGTTTTTCATCTGACATCATTATTTGTATTTTGTTTTATTTCAGTTAACAAACACTTTTTAACAGTTTTAGTTAGCAATAACAACACTGCTGTCAAGCTCCAAAAATAAAAAAATAAAAAATAATAATTAAATAAATACAAAAAATGTAGCCCACTAGAAAAAAAAGTAGAAAAAACGTGTGAGGGAAGATAAAGTCCAACTTCCGGTTCACACGCAAAGTTGTTCACTGAAAATGTTCCATCAACGTGCCATCATAATGTATCTCCTTTGCTGCAGTTCTTTTATCTCATTCATGCCATTTTAAATATATGATTTAAGTATATGCTTAAATTTTGCACTTTGTTATCAATTATGGGGCACATACAAACTTTTGATGTTTTCACCATTGATTTTCAGAGAACAACTACTTAAATGTAGGTCTGTTTCTCACATGCAACTATGAGAAGACTTAATATGGACTATTTCTATGATGGTTTTATAGTGTTTTTGTCCTTTTTGCAGCTTGACAGCCTGTCACTATGATATATGTGTGTACATTTAGCGCAGAATTGATAACTTCATGATCAAGAAGTAATATAATTGGGCAAATGCAATTTAGTGCTGTTTTGGCTGAGTATTTGTGTCCTGAGCTTAATGACAAATGACTCTATCCCTCCAGAAATTCTGTTGCCGCTACGACTAGCATCCAGAAAATTGCATTGTGCATTCAGTGTTTATAAGTACTTGGCAGCGTGTGCTTGGTGATTAGGCTATAGCGTGTTTTCATGTTCTTCTTCTTTTCTAGCGTCACAATGGTGAAGTGTCTTCAGGTGGTTCTGTCAAGCACTTAGGCCGCAACCGCTTCTCAGTGTCTTTTCAACTGGAGGACGTCCAGAAGCCAGAGCAGGACCTCTACCGCTGCGTCACGCAGTCCTCCAGAGGCTCAGGCGTCTCCAACTTTGCTGAACTCATCGTCAAAGGTGAAGAGCATATTTTCTTTCCTTCTTCTTGTCCTTTCTACTGCCCATAATGTGCACATCACAAGAGAATGGAATTCTGGCTAAATCCATGTCATTGTATTCTTTTTTCATTATAGCCTTGCATTCTCACATCTTATGCTCTTTTGTCCTGAAATTGTCAGTTTAGTAAGAAGAATGTACAGTATGTGTGGACTGTTGTTGTAGCAGGCTTTTGCTGGCAAATGGTATTTAGGAAAGCTTAAAGTATGACAATTCTGACTTTATTTACTCCACCTTAACTAATGCCAAACCTCTATGCTCTAATTTTTGTTTGTTCAGTGCAAATAAATATATATATATATATATATATTTTTTTTTTTTTTTTTTGAGCTTGACAGCTTGTGGTCACTATAAACTATTGAAAAGTCCTGTTACATGATGTGGCGATTAATTAATCAAATTAATTTCATATTACATTTGGCTGTGAAAATACCTCCAAAAGATCATTTCAAGCCAGTATTATGTTAAATGAGAAAAGTATCAAGTAGACATTACAAAAAGTAGCTTTAGAAATAAATAAATTGTAAAATGTATTACACATAAACGTTTAGGCTACAACGGCTAAAACCATAACTAACATAAACTATGGAACATAAAAGAAGATGATTTGACAAACATCTCAGTATTTTTTATTCATATGAAAGTCATTGTTAACATTGTTAATGTTAACCTTTAAGGGTTTTTTTTTTGGAAATGAAATAATACTCTAAATTAGAAACTAAAACGGTAAATGTCTATGAATAAATCATTGAGTCATTCATTCATGTATTCGATTTGTTCAAACGTCTGATTCAATCAGGAATGATGTAAATGGCTCTCTTTATGAATGGACCACTGAATCAATGGTTCACACGATTCGTTCAAAATGCAGATTCATTCAGAAACGAATCGCCACTGTGTTGTTAAAGGGGTCATATGATGTTGCTAAAAAGAACATTATTTTGTGTATTTGGTGTAATGAAATGTGTTTATGTGGTTTAAGGTTAAAAAAACACAGTATTTTCCACATACTGTACATTACTGTTTCTCCTCTATGCCCCGCCTTTCTGAAACACGTCGATTTTTACAAAGCTCATCGTTTCGAAAAGCGAGGTGTGCTCTGATTGGTCAGCTATCCAGTGCGTTGTGATTGGCCGAATACCTCAAGCGTGTGATGGAAATGTTACACCCCTTACTTGATGCCGTGTGATACGTGACCAATAAAACCCATTACAAACGAGGCATTTGTAGCATCCAGTGGGGACATAATTACTGATTATAATGACTTATACTGTCTTTTTACGCGCCACGTAAACATAATACCATGTCTGCATTTGTGATCGGAGAAACGACAAACACATCCCTTTTCTTTCTCAATTGTTTCCCTTCACCTAAGCCATAAGCAACTGCGTTTACAAGAATACTTGCAGAGCACAGTATTTCAGGCACAAATAGACGCAGAAGTGAACAGAATTCAGTGTTCACGTGCATCTGCGTGGCTCTCACCGTGTCGACACCGGACGCGAGCGGCGCGACGCGACAAAATACAATGAACCCATTATGATCAGTGATGCTGTCAGTCTACTCTGGATGTGGTGCGGCACGAAAAATCCCCGACAGTAAACTGAGTTCAAAGTTCAAATGTTTGGCAGCGGTCGCTTTGTAACGTCCAGTGTAGACAGACTTTGGGGCCGTTCACATGTCGTGCCTAAAACGCGTGGGAAAATGCAAATGTAGACACAGTGTCTGTGTGTGTGCAAAGAAAACAATCAGTATAAATATAACGATCAGTAGCCTATACTAAACATCGCACATCCTGCGATGTGACTATCGCAGATGCCCACATCGCAATATTGATGCTGAAACGATATATCGTGCAGCCCTAGTTTGAATCATCAGTGGCAAATAGGGAGGTAGGGAAGTCGTGGCCTAATGGTTAGAGAGTCGGACTCATAACCCAAAGGTTGTGGGTTCGAGTCTCGTACCGGCAGGGATTGTAGGTGGGGGGAGTGAATGTACAGCGCTCTCTCCCACCTTCAATACCACAGCAAGGTGCCCTTGAGCAAGGCACCGAACCCCCAACTGCTCCCCGGGCGCCGCAGCATAAATGGCTGCCCACTGCTCCGGGTGTGTGTTCATGGTTTGTGTGTGTTCACTGCTGTGTGTGTGCACTTTGGATGGGTAAATGCAGAGCACTAATTCCGAGTATGGGTCACCATACTTGGCCACATGTCACTTCACTTCACTTAAATCCTTTATATATGAAAACATACTTACAGGCTGTGAGTCCGCATTATTTGTCAGAACACCGGCACTGTAGGCTACTCTCCCAGGAAACAGTCCTTGTCCTTCGTAAAATGTGCTGCACACATCTGAATATTTGGGTTGAACTGTTCTGGAACAGTGTTGTAAATACAACTTAACCACTGATTTCTAGTTGTGTCCTCTTTTGGAAGACCAAACAAAGTAGTTTCGCTTTCCCCACGAAACACAGCATCTACGCGGCATGGCGGCGGCGGTAACAATACTACAGCAAGAATAAAAGTTACGCCTTCTTTTTTTGCGTGAACATTTGGGCGGTGTTATGCAAATCTTCCCACACAGTGATGTAGACATGTGGGGGCGAGTTTAAACGAGGCGTTTTAGGAGGACATGGACTTTTATAAAGAATTTTATAAAGTCTTAACTTTTATAAAGAATATCTCTTTGGGTTTGAGACTTTAGTCTTTGCAACTTTAGGGATCTTATCTATTCACGAACAGCTTGTAACACTCCGAAGAGAAAGGAAAACTTGAAATCACATCATATGACCACTTTAAGAGACACACAGCAGTTCTGCTGTGGCTTTATAGGTAATATTGGCAAAAGTGAGCAAAAACAGAAAATATTGTGTTTAAAATATAACGCAATATTAACTCCTTATTTACTGAACTGTTGTATAAAATCACATTTGCACTCGTGCTATTCGGGACAAAAACAGCGCTCTTGTGATATCATATGACATAAATATGAGACAAAAACTCATACAGGGGAATGTTTGCCCCAATATCTTGAATTTTAGGGGCATATAACTGCTTTTATGGACTACATCACGCAGTGAGTTGTTGTCCTGCATCATGTTTGTCAACAGTCAACTGTATGAAACGTAAGATGACATACAGGTCTGGGTTATTTTTCCATGACTAATTAATTAAATTAACACATTAAATTGACATCCCTGATTTGTATTTATAGTATATACAGTATGGGGGGGGGGGGTTTGGTAGTACTTGAACATAATAATAATCATGATGATTCAGGGATTTCTTTAACATCATATTTGACCAAAGCAAACCTCCCCACTTGTCATTTCAACCATATAACTTGACATCTGCCCATAAGCCTGCAGTGGCAGCTTTCAGTGTCCACCTTTAAACCCTGGTCAGATTGATATCCCCTAAGCAAAAGGAAAAGTCAGGGGTGGAACAAGAATAGGGATGGATGGAGCCACGTGGGTTATTCAGCATCCGTCCTCAAGGCGTACTGAAAGAGGTTATGAGACAGCACCATGCTAATCCTATTGATAGATGTAGCAGCACGGATTACGGTGAGTTTAGAAATACAGCTTTACTGTATGCAACAATATGACCTAGAATCACAGCATTATAAACCTTCAGGCTGGTTTCTTTAAATGCCGTCATGACAAACCAGAAATGAAAAATCACAGGTAATACCCTCAGAGATCCTAAAAGAGAAACTTCTAGTTGTTCAATTATTTGTACTCCCTCACACTGTTTATTTTTTAACCCTGAAGCACCTACAGCAAAGCATTTTGCTTTCTTCACACCTAAATCACAGAATAAAATGTGGAGTCTTTTCAAGATTATCTTCATTCAGACGTGATCCGAAAGTGGTTTACTTGTAGGTTTACTTAGTTTTTTTTAACCAGTTGTGAACATAGAAGATGAGCGTCATCTCTTTTCTTTTCTTTTCTTTAAATTGTTTAGTTTCATTTGTTTTTTATTACATTTTTATTGCATTTAGTATGTTTTTATTTTTTTAAATTTTTTTTTGCAATCTGAATTCTTCTCTCCTAAGAAAAATCGCCCTTGTTGTATAGGTAGCACTTCTTTTCCCAGCAAATAACCTTCTAATTTGCATGGTTTTCTTGATAAAGCGATTGGATAAGAGTGCCTGCTAAATGCCTTAAATGTAACTATATTCCGGGTTAAAACTGTTAATGTTCTCTAGATCTTGTCATCAAATTCAAAACTCATTTAACATGCACTGTTTCTAGTAGACTGACTAATCAAATGTTCAGGAAAGTGCTCGATACAAAGCACTTGCTCTTGTGGCACTTGTCACACTGACTCATTACAACTTCATCATTATATTTTTACCAAAGCTGTAGGCATAATCCACTTGGGAACATCGCAATATGAAGCATAACTTATAATGAGACCCGGTGCACCTGTGTCTCAATGTTAGAGAGCTTTAAAGCCATTTCAGACTATAGCTGCATTCCCTCTGCAGCATGTTATTGGCATTGCTTCTTGATGGCTTTTACTTCAACAGGAGGTCCTATTTAAAAAGCATTACTGCACCTGAGTTAAGCACGGCAGATTGGCCCCACCAGACGAGTCCATAAAGCTATAGGCCCACATGCTTGCACGGCAGCGTTGACGCAAGCTCATTACGTTCACCTTAGTTTTCCCTTCCCTTCGCTCTGATCTTCTCCTTGTCTTTTCCAAACTGCCCTCCCACGCTTGCCCCCACTAACGAGAGGCTAATCAGTCCTTTAATTAGCTTGATCAACTCATTTCACAACTCAATAGATTACATAGCAACAGGGCTAATGCAGAGGAGCCAGAGGGCTAATGAGAATTGTTCTCAGTCAGTCAGTAGGGTTCAGATCTGTTTTTCGCAGTGACTCTGAACTCTACTCTGGCGAAAGAAGCTTTCTCAGGGTGAAATTAATCATCTGCCCTAACCAACACTGGATAGAGGGAGAATCGCAGAGACGGCCCGTTATTATGTCTCTTCGCATATGAAAGCAGAATCTAAGTTGTCTTTATATTATTTTCTGAGCCATTCTCTGACAGACAAGATGAGTTTTTTATTCCCTGCCATCTCTTATCCCTCCCAGGAGAGGCGTTCTCTGTCCCTAGCTGGATATTTGCCATCTGCAGCTGGCCCTGAGAGAGAAAGCTTTCAGACACAGCAGACCCGAAGATCAGTCATGGGAAAAATCAGCACTGATATCTTTTCATTCATTGGACCCCTCGCTTGCACCCTTCCAAATCGATTTCTTTCACTAATTATTTGATAACTCAAGACCCTTTGAAGTTCTAGTCATTAGTCAGGGTTTAAATATGTATCTAAAAATATTTTATACCTTGCAAATCAAATGTAAGATTTTTTTCCCCCATGTGACTGTGGCTACTGTGTAGCTGCCCTCCAAGTTCCTCAGGGGGCCATATATAAAAATCTCACACTAAATAGCATGACCTTGTATCCAACGTTCTTCCATAGTCCACACTTCTGTTGGTTTACTTATAGCTCTCCCTCGAGGACTTGAAAGAACCAGCTATTGGAGACTTAATGTGCTTGGCCAGATTGGTATTTTAACCCTTGAACCTTGTGTTTTTAAGTTGTACAATTTTGAACTGCAAATGTTCTCTCACCTCATGTCAGCAGTGTCTGATCAAGATAAGCTTAAAAACTAGGTAAAAGAGATTCAGGTTAGAACACATTGAAGTTTTTCGTGTATTTCTCCCGGGCTTGAAAAGGGCTAAAATATGAACATGTTTTCTTCATTCCCTGAATAGATTTTTACCATCATCTCCTTTCTTTCTCTGTCACAGTTCCCCCATCTCCCATTGCTCCACCCCAGCTGTTGAGAGCGGGCTCCACGTATTTGATCATTCAACTAAACACAAACTCCATTCTGGGTGATGGCCCCATCATCCGTCGGGAAATCGAATATCGGGCCAGCCAGGCACCTTGGTCGGAGATCCTTGGAGTTAACATGGTTACCTATAAGCTCTGGCACCTGGATTCAGATACAGAGTACCATATCAGTGTGCTGCTCACCCGGCCGGGTGAGGGTGGGACCGGGCCACCCGGACCACCCCTCATCAGCAGAACCAAGTGTGCCGGTAAGTGACCAGAAAACTTCAGTCCATTAAAAAATATTTTGATGTTGGATGAGAAATGTTTGAGTTTATATTGAAATTTCTAACTCAAAATGATTAAGTTGCTCTTCATTTAATATTGTTGTGTAGGATGAAACAATTAAGAGTTTTTGACTCTACTAAAGCATAAAAATACCATAATATGTTTGCAGATAGTTAAGAAACATGCCAAGTTAACATACTTGTTTATCTGAAAAACAATGCTACAGTCAGTTATTCTCCTTTGAAAATGTGCGTTCCAGGCCGGAATGTCGGTCTCTGTTTTGGTTTGCGAAACCCGCCCACTGCCAGTTTACCCAATTGTATTTCGTCACCCTGGGTTGCCAGTTGGCAGAAAACACAGCGTATTTCATTTCATTCATCGTCAAGTGCGCTCGCTCCTGTTGGTGTCGTCAATCTGGCAACCTGCTGTGTGCCTCAAGTCTGAGGAGGAGTGGCCGGGTGAAAAAAACCCTCTCCAATATTTAGAATTTTGACTGCAATACCTAGTTCAACCACTCGGTGTCAATCCTACATGCAGCACCTTTAATGAACAAACAGCATGTGAAGTTGGTCAAGTGTTTAATGCCAGTTCATTAATATATCCGACTCAATTTTTGAAAAGGGGATGATCATTTGATGAACCGAAACTGCGGGCATCTCTTCTGTGGCACATTCTTGTGCCTGTCAAAACAGTGAGGGGTGCAGTAATACATGGTTCTACCTGCAAATGAGAGTCTCTGCCATGTCCAGCTGTTTCGGTACTGGAAAGGGTGTGATTGATCCTGTTTTTATCTGAGTGAAAACGAGAGTGAGGATTCGACCCAGACCTGGTCAACATTGTAATAGTCACCACTTAACATCACATCCTCTTCAAACACACATGCTATCACACAAATCACTGCCTGCCTTTTAAAATGACAAATACAATCATTCCCAGCTTGTTCCTGAGACCAGACACACCTACCATTCATCAGCAAGCAAGACGAAGAGAGGCAGTCAGGTGAAAAAGGGAGTGCGGAAGAGCATGACAACACAGGAGGCTTTAGAATGGAAAAAAGACATCAGCAGATAAGACGAGAGAGTCGGAGCGAGAAAGATTCGTCTGTGAGTCAGGTTGAGGCGCGTTTTTGTCTTAAACAGCTTTTGTCTCTAAAAGAAAGGCGGAGAAAATGAGGAGCAGACGTTCACGCTAAACATTTCCCACTGTTTCCATTTCCTCTTCCACATTAAGTCTAGATTGAAATTCTTCTTTAAATGGAGTATTTACATCATATTCCCAGTGGTGCCTCACTGCACATGAATATTGGGGCTGTTTAAGCTGCTGTCATATTTGCTGAACTGTTGAAGATGTAATTTTGACTCAATAGAAGAACATCAGTGGAAGTGGAAGTAAAATTAGGTTTTCCATACTCCACTCGTGCTCAAATCTCCTGTGTATTCTGCCGTCATCTGAATAGAAATTGAAGATATAATTGAGTGCTTGGAGAAGTGTGCTAGTGGGAACGCCATGTTGTGTCAGAGGCTATGAAGTTTTGATTTGTTTGACAGCGCTTGCTCACACACATGCATACACTCGAAAGTTCGCTGTGATGATTTATTAATCACGGTTGAAAGGGGTTAGCGTTTACAGTCATGTGACTCCAGAGAGCTCACAAAAATTAGGCCTTAGCTGCTGCTGCTGCAGGACAAGATGTTTGTTTTGTAACATCATCTGCAATAGGTTTTATTCGACATTTTGTCTTTCACTGAATTTGATGGATTTATGGTTCTTTACTAAATGCATTAGCTTCATCTATCAAAGGAGGGACATTTTATTGTTCAGAGGTCTGGTCAAGAGACTTAATGGAGCTCTCAAGTGTGTTTCACTTAAAGGTAAATGTACATTCTGTCATCATTTACTCACCCTCATGTCGATCCATACCTGAAAAATATTTTTTTGTCCATTCAATGAAAGTATTGGTTACTTGGGTATCATACATCACCCCAAAACATCACAAACCCCCACCGGTCACATTTTCTCCCTGATTCTTTTTTTTTTCCTTTTTGGATAGAGAGTAGTGTCAGCTCATCTGTCTTCATCCAGTAGGTGAATCCACTTCCTCCATTACAAAGGTGACTGTGATTATCTTCTCTGGCTCCATCAAAATGCCCTCCATCTGGGGATGCCATTAACTCCTGTACACAGACCCGATGCTGACAATCTTCCCTTGTTGATATATCCCTTGCTGGCATCTGACTAGATCTTATTAGTTTATTTGTTTGTGTAGTTAGGCTCACCTTATATGGTTTCTCTCTCCTAGCAGCTCATTTCCTTTTTTTCACTGCAAGAGCGTTAGATACTTCCAGGACCTTGGGTGACTTCTCCTCCAAAAAACTAGAGGAAAGTGAAATGAATGATGAGATGACTAGGTTGTTTCTGGCTGCAACTGAAGATTGCATCCTGGTGCACTGCTCTAGGTAGTGACCTACATAAAAATGATGAAAGCAGGCACAGTCCTGTGGGCACAACCAGGGAACCAGTGGACATTTCGCCGAACACAGCCAGGTGTGCTTGATGAGGGGTTGTTGTGATTAGGAGCAGGACTTGATATGAAGGAACGTTCCTCAGAGGTGAGCGAGATTAGAAAGGGGAAAAAGATGGAAGAATGGAACAAGCATTGCACTTCTGCCACAGACTGGTTCACAGATGGACCTCCACCTGCTGCTGGGTCTCTTTAGGTGTTCATCGGAGTGAGTTATACTCTGGATTGTAATGAGGTTAAGGTACGGTGCCCCCAAAGATGCAAATTTTATCATCATTTACTCACCCTTGTGTCATTCCAAACCTGTATGACTTTCTTCTTCAGAACACATAAAATAGAAGTCGATGGGGTCCAGTGTTGTTTTGGACCCCATTGACTTTTATTGTATGGACAAAAACATTTAAACATTCTTCAAAACATCTTTTGTGTTCTGCAGAAGAAAGTCAAAAATGCATATTTTCTCATCATTTACTCACCCTTGTGTCATTCCAAACTGTATGTATGTATGACTTTCTTGCATCAAATAAGGTGATGTTTTGAACATTGTCCTGCTGTTGAAAGTTGATAGGGATCAGTGCCTGTCAAGCCCCAAAAGTGGCAAAAGCACAATAAAATTATTTTATGCTATATACATTTTCTGAATGGATCTTTGTGTGAGGAACATACTAAAATACAGAGCACCAAGTTTGAAATCTATGATGGCTGAATAGGGCAAAAAATTCATTAAATAATGATTTCAGTCTCTTCCTCACACTCCTTTTATAACATTTTTATGGTACTTTTTAGTTCCTCCTGGAGCTTGACAGCCATTGGTCACTAGATACAATACATTTCAAAGGATTAGGAAAAATGTTACACTGAAAATACTGTAAAAAAATTGAAATACTGTCAAAAATTACAGGATTCATCTTGGGGGGAAAAGTTTCATGGTTTTATCAAAAATAAGCAACTCAATTGCTTTCAACATCGATCGTAATTAGAAATGTTTCTTGAGCACCAGTTCAACATAACATGTTAGAATGATTTCTGAAGGATCATGTGACCCTAAAGAGTGAAGGAATGACAGCTGTAATTTCAGCTTGCCATTACAGGAATAAATTACATTCCAAAACAAATTAAAATAAAAAACTGTTATTTTAAATTGTTATAATATTTCACAGTATTGTAAGACTATACAAGTGATGCAAATTATTTCTGGGTGAACTGTCCCTTTAATAAATGTCTTTAATGAGAGTAACATATAGCATCTTATTCTTTCATGATTTTTATTCCCGTAATTTAACATCAGATACGAATGTTCTTGTGTACATTTGATTGAACCCACTCCCATCCATCTCAATATAAATGATTTTACCCCAAATATCACAGAATCATGTTTCCCCATCCTTTTTCCTTTTACAGACCAGCGACCAGAACTTCACGCCCATTAGTTCACTGTATAACCAGGAATGAGCTTAGTTCTCTCCGGACTACCTCATGTATCAACATTATCTAGAGTAATGGGACAGAAACTGGTCTTGTTTGGACTTCCAGCTGCCCGTGAGGAATTGACATGCTGCCCCAGGCCCCTGGCTGCTCTCTCTGGGTTCGGTCCCATCTCAAATGGGAGCCAGGGAGTAGGCGCTCGAAGAGCTGCTCTTGGCATCCAGACAAAGCCTTCAAACTAGGTTAAGGGAAGTAGGGTGACACAAAAGGCCCTTTTGAGCTTCTCAAAGAGCACAGTGTAGACTCTTGGATTGTTTTAAAGACGGCAAAAGCCAACAGCATCCCATTAGTTTGCTTTTAACGAACAATCAATAGTTCCATTAAGATGATCAACACTCTATTTTAGTTGTTATTCCTGTGTAGCCAAATGGGACCTTTTGACATTCAGTGTGCATTTTAGGAAACTAATATCTTTCATTCGTGTCATTTTCAGGTCGACTAAGTGCTTCTCTTGATAAGAAATCCAATCGCACTGGAAGTTAATCTAAATGTAAATCTACAAATGAAACGAAATGTAAATCCAAATATAGACCTTAAGGAAATGTGTAGAGAGATGTAGCGAAAGCTCTCTGATGTGTGAAATATTTCAGGATTAAAGGAGCTTAATGTTACAAGTGCATTTCTGCAGGAGAAGTGCTGAATTAGTATTCTGCAATCCATACATGTTCTCCTCTAAGGACTTCAAGACAAGATACATTTCCTCTAATTCAGCCCCTCTGTCCTTATGGTATTGGTGCATTAGCTACCTCACCTTACCTTTAGTCATTCTTAAGAGCATGTCTTCTGAGCATCGGTTCAAGAAGAACAATAAAGACCTTGAGCCTGGACTTCATACTTTTCACAGGAAGTGTGCACTTCACATCCCTTTGTTGTACCTTCCCACTTGGATCCATTAGTCATCAGGTCCCATTAAAAGAACAAAGGCATACAATACATTATGTGGAGATATATTTGACAAAACTGCATTGATTGTCTTAATAATGGACCATGACAAATGCGCTCATTGATAGTGAGGCTGGATGTCCTTGGTTCACCCTCACTGCTGCCTTTGCGCCTCTGTGAGAAACACTAAGGTTCCTGTTTGCCCTACAGACAGTAGCTTCCTCTATCTCTTTATATCACATGCCAAAGGTGGTCGCTGATCTTTCTGCCCCCGGTAAGTAAGAAAGTATGAACACAGATGTGAGTTATGCCAAAAATAGTTGGACTTACGCGGCGACCTTGCACTAACGGTAACTGGCAGAACTGAATGTCCTTGAACGGGGCTCGTGGCCCCTGGACGAGGTGCAGGCAGATACTCGATTTGCTTAGCGACGCGGCGGTGGCAAATGACGGGAGAGAGTACAACCAGCAGCCTGTGGAATTAATTAACGTAATTTGGCATGAGTTGTGTCCTCATTAGCAGGTGGTCCGTCAACCTTTTTGACCGTGGTGGCGCCTCCTACCTGTGGTGGGTGGGGTAGGCGAGAAGTCTTATGACCTGGTGATGTCCCCATGCAGATTTCCTTGCATTTTTGGCTTATGTTAACAAAATGTTTCACCGTTTTCTATTCCAATAGAGCCCATGCGGGCACTGCGTGGTCTTAGAGCCTTGGAGATCCAGTCACGGCAGCTGACCTTGCAGTGGGAGACGCCGGCCTTCAACCTGACCCGCTGCCACACGTACTCAGTCTCCTTGTGTTACCGCTACACAACCGCAGGGGGTGGCGGTGGGCACAACACCACAGTGAGAGAATGCCTGGCTGTGGAGCACAACACTTCACGCTTCACCCTCAGAGATCTGCCTCCTTTTCACACCATCCAAATACGCCTGGCACTCGCCAACACCGAGGGCAAGAAGGAAGGGAAGGAGGTCATGTTTCAGACTGAGGAAGACAGTGAGTAGCAGAGCTTTCAATGAATATGAATCTGTATATGTCAAGCTCAGAACTACATTTTATTTTACAACATTTACAAATGCTATTAGACCAAATTTTCTAAGTCCCATCCATTTAAGAGCTCACTTATTCATCATTCAGCCTATTTATCAATAAATAATCAAACATTTACCAATTAAAGTAAATTTATGGTATCTGCAAATATTTTTTATTAAAATACTCTACATTCCCAAATGGATTTTAAATTAATTTTTAATCATTCTCTCTAGGGAGCTGAGCATGAGCAGGTCAGGGAAGATTTTTATGCCCATTTCCATGCGCGATCCAGTCAGCGCAGGCTGTAAGAATTCTGGCTAAAGGACAAAATAATTTGGGGGGAAAATTTGAAACACTAGCGTTTCACCCAGAGAGGAAGTATGATGAAGTGAGAGGGATGAAAGAGAGTGCCTCTGAAGCTTCAATCAGAAATTATTTTCTTTCATGGCCTGTCAAAAGAAAAAGTGATCGAGTCAGCGATTTTGACTCAATCTGAGTGAGCGTGTTATTTTCACCACCGGCTATCTCTGCCTCACCAACTATCACTCCGCGCATACACGCTATGCATATACCCGACAGCTAACAAGGATGGCTCAGTGACAGAGCACAAATGACTGTAAAAACATCTGCTGATGTGTTACTGCTGCAGTATGTGAGAGCTCAGAGCATCATCTGTCTCTCTAGCACCATTTCCACTTCCTCCTCATTCTTTCTGCCAGCGTTTATGTCTGTTAATGAACCCGTGTTAATATTAATCAGCCAAAAACAGCCATGTCATCAGTTGCAAGTGTTGCTCTTTCTATCTGTCACACAGGCTTTGTATTTCCTGCTGAGAAGTCCAGCTTAGACCAGCATGAATTTCCACTCTGCTCCAGGCTGGTTAAAGCTGGTTTCATGCCGGTGTGGTTGATTGATCAGAACAACTCTGCTGTTTGCATTCGCAAACTGATGAAGCTAATTAAGCAGCTTGTCCTTTCTGGTGAATATGGTTAAGCTAGTTAAATAAAAATGAAAATTGTGTTCTCATTTATTCATCCTAATGTCATTCCAAGTCTGTGAAGTTTTTAAGAATATTCATGCTGCTCTCTTTTATACATTGAAAGCATGTAGGGCTGTCAAGCTCCAAAAGGACAAAAACGAATCATTAAAATGATTCATATAACTCTTTCAATTGTTCTGTTGCCATATGTTAGTTTTGTGTGACGAAAAGACTGAAATTTATATTGTTATGCACTGAAAATATATATTGTACAGTAGCTCTGAAATTTAATTCAAGCATGCTGTGGGAAGAGGTCAAAGGCCATTGTTTCTCACTTGTCTTGTAACCAGTTGCAAATTTTAATATGCAGATGAGCTAATGAAATTTCAGAGCTACAGTAGATGGCAAAAGTTTGTGTGAATAAAGACTGAAATCACACAAAGCTAATAGGGCATGGATGGAATATGGAATTATTATGATTCATTTTTGATTTTATTCCCCTTAATTATTTTTATACTATTTACATACTATTATAGTATTTATAACTATAACAACATTGTATGGAAAAAAATTTGTGTCAGAAGAAAAAAAAATCATAAGGATTGGAACGACATTAAGGTGAGTAAATGATAACAGAGTGTTTCATTTTTGAGTGAATTCCTTTAAGAAGCCTGATGGGGACACAAACAAACCAACATTCAACCAACACATCATATACTATTCTTTTTAGCAGGATTACCAGACTGCAACATTCCATCAAAACTGGAGCACACGTTCCCAGCTCTTTAACTCTTAGATTTCATATCACATATTCAAATGGCCTGACAACAGTACTGAATCACTTGTATTAGTTATAATGGATGATTCTCTGTAATACCTGCTTAAAACTTTCATAATGACAATGGTTGTAATGAGGATATTAGAGTTGACCTTTGGGGAACTTCAAGTGATTAACCCTCTAACTTTGAGTAAATGCTAGTGAAATTACTAGTCTGACAGTGTAGGATCCTTCAGTTTCTTCGTTCATAACCAGTGGCTTCTTCGGTTTCCCACAGTTCCCGGAGGCATTGCTCCTGAGTCTCTTACCTTCACGCCACTGGAGGATATGATCTTCCTGAAGTGGGAGGAGCCGGTGGAACCCAACGGTCTCATCACGCAATATGAGGTATGTGCTTTCCTGTTCTTTACCGCACTCATATCCATTTCTCTCATGCTGTCTGAATCTACAGAGATTGGCTCTGACGAGTCAGCGTTTTTACCATGTGAAATATCGATGATCCACAATCCTTGAAAGACAAAACTTCCCACTGTGTGTTAAAATTGGACTGCCAACTTAAATTATTTATGAACGTGCCGCTAACATATGATCCCCCTCATGCATGTGCACACAGACCTGACTGACAGTGTGCTATATTAGGAAGACCTTGGAATGCGAGTGTTTTCCAAGCCTGTATAATTCAGAGTTTCAGTCTAGTGGGCCGGAAATGCTGAGTTGTTGTTGTTGTTCTTTCTCAACTCAAGTCAGTGACAGGCAGAAAGTATGTATTAAGTCATGATTTGGACCTGGAACTCTGCATGCTGCCAGAGACACAAGAGCCACCAAGGCTAACCCTGCCTCTAATTGGTCCCTACTGCACCAGCCATCTGTTAGTAAATGACAGAAAGATGTCTCTATCTGAAGTTCTATATGCTGTCTCCTACACTTTTTGCCATTTTAGAATCTTGCTTTATTTGAATAGTCGCCATGATGTCACCAAAACAGCCATAGTCATGAACTGGGACTATTGTCCCAGAGCTACCTGGGATTAATTGCTTTGCACGAGGACAAAATGATAATTGCTTATGGCTCAGTTCTCGAAGGCATTGAATCAGCAACCCTCCAGCCCTGAACCTTAACCAATACACCATAATATTTTATGAAAATGGCTGCTGTAGAAGAGATGGCAAAAGTTTGTGTGAATAAAGACTGAAATCACACAAAGCTAATAGGGCATGGATGGAATATGGAATTATTATGATTCATTTTTGATTTGATCTTAATTATTTTTATACTATTTACATACTATTATAGTATTTATAACTATAACAACATTGTATGGAAAAAAATTTGTGTCAGAAGAAAAAAAAATCATAAGGATTGGAACGACATTAAGGTGAGTAAATGATAACAGAGTGTTTCATTTTTGAGTGAATTCCTTTAAGAAGCCTGATGGGGACACAAACAAACCAACATTCAACCAACACATCATATACTATTCTTTTTAGCAGGATTACCAGACTGCAACATTCCATCAAAACTGGAGCACACGTTCCCAGCTCTTTAACTCTTAGATTTCATATCACATATTCAAATGGCCTGACAACAGTACTGAATCACTTGTATTAGTTATAATGGATGATTCTCTGTAATACCTGCTTAAAACTTTCATAATGACAATGGTTGTAATGAGGATATTAGAGTTGACCTTTGGGGAACTTCAAGTGATTAACCCTCTAACTTTGAGTAAATGCTAGTGAAATTACTAGTCTGACAGTGTAGGATCCTTCAGTTTCTTCGTTCATAACCAGTGGCTTCTTCGGTTTCCCACAGTTCCCGGAGGCATTGCTCCTGAGTCTCTTACCTTCACGCCACTGGAGGATATGATCTTCCTGAAGTGGGAGGAGCCGGTGGAACCCAACGGTCTCATCACGCAATATGAGGTATGTGCTTTCCTGTTCTTTACCGCACTCATATCCATTTCTCTCATGCTGTCTGAATCTACAGAGATTGGCTCTGACGAGTCAGCGTTTTTACCATGTGAAATATCGATGATCCACAATCCTTGAAAGACAAAACTTCCCACTGTGTGTTAAAATTGGACTGCCAACTTAAATTATTTATGAACGTGCCGCTAACATATGATCCCCCTCATGCATGTGCACACAGACCTGACTGACAGTGTGCTATATTAGGAAGACCTTGGAATGCGAGTGTTTTCCAAGCCTGTATAATTCAGAGTTTCAGTCTAGTGGGCCGGAAATGCTGAGTTGTTGTTGTTGTTCTTTCTCAACTCAAGTCAGTGACAGGCAGAAAGTATGTATTAAGTCATGATTTGGACCTGGAACTCTGCATGCTGCCAGAGACACAAGAGCCACCAAGGCTAACCCTGCCTCTAATTGGTCCCTACTGCACCAGCCATCTGTTAGTAAATGACAGAAAGATGTCTCTATCTGAAGTTCTATATGCTGTCTCCTACACTTTTTGCCATTTTAGAATCTTGCTTTATTTGAATAGTCGCCATGATGTCACCATAACAGCCATAGTCATGAACTGGGACTATTGTCCCAGAGCTACCTGGGATTAATTGCTTTGCACGAGGACAAAATGATAATTGCTTATGGCTCAGTTCTCGAAGGCATTGAATCAGCAACCCTCCAGCCCTGAACCTTAACCAATACACCATAATATTTTATGAAAATGGCTGCTGTAGAAGCTTCTGGAACAGTTTTGGGAAGAAATCATTACTGAGGTAGTGTCACATACAGCCCATAAAAGAATAATTTATTTAGCCACAATCATTTAAATAGCATCTAAATTTGGTGAGAGAGAGGTTTTTGTTTTTAATTTTTTGATTTGTATATATTCAGACGGTCAAATTTAGATACACACAATGTAAAAGCATTTTGCGTGACAGTTTGCATGACTTTAAGTTGAGTTTATTTTTATTTATTTATATTTTATCATTATTTATATGATTTATTTTCTAAATTAAAATATCTAAATAAAATTTGTCAATTAAAATTTAATTGGCCACAACCCATCTATCTATTTATCTATCCGTCTGTCTGTCTGTCTGTCTCTATCTTTCTATTTATCTATAATTCTATCGTTCTATTTATCTATCTATCATTCTGTCTCTCATTCTGTTTGGTTATTTTTATTATTTAATTCTGTAATCTAAGAATCATTTTACAGTGTAGTTTTGTGCACCAAAAACAGCAAATTGAAAGCTTACACCTTTGTCCCAAAAAATAAGGATAGCTAACAGTCTAATAAAAGCCTTTAAACTGTTTCTTCATTCTTCCGCCCACTGCACACAGATTCAGCCTGCTCAATGGAAAGGTGGTGGGCCTCCTACAGCCAGAATCTGTCTCTCTCTTCCAGAACATTCTCACACCCTTTCTCCCTCTCTCTCTGGTCACACTGCGTGCTTCAGTGTCACCTTTCTTCTCACCCATGATTCAGGCTCTCAGTCAGTCACTAAAAAGCTGTGAGAACGGTGCTTCTGTTACGCTCCAAAACACCCATCTCACCTCAAGAGGAAAAGGAGCTTTTGTTTGTGGATCCGTCATTCGGCTCAGCTATGGCCCGAAACGAGATCGACGCATTTTTTGAATGCCACCTGTGTCCATCAGGCGCCCCCTCCATTACCGTTTGCACTTACTGAGTTATCTCTCGTTGATAACACACGTTTCTTTTTCTCCCCAGGCCATAGCTACCAAAGTCGCCTCAAGGATGTTTTCTAAAGGGGATCTAAAGTATTGGCCTATAAATTGGAGGCAGGGACAGATTTTCTGGCTCAAGCAGCCTGATCTTCTCAGGCATACAGAGAAATGAAGAGAGAAAGAATAAGAGAGTGGCAGAGCTTGGAGAATTTGCTCTCGTTTTTCTCAGATTAGCACATTGTCCACTTTTCTCTGAGCACCTCTGACAAAAGGCTCACAGGGCACTGTGTTCTCCCTCAAACCTTCCCCCACTACTATCATCCATGCCTCATATCTTAAAAGAGGCCGGGTACAGGTGCAGCAAATGTCTCCTCGATCCCAGAAGCACACTGCACTGAACACCCGCTAATGCTCTAATGCTCTGCACGCTTGTGATCAGAAAGTTTGTCAGGTCCTTACACTCCGTGCCAAACAGACTACTGATTGTAGTGTTCTTTCTGTCCTTACTGATAAAATTTGTGTGAATTAAAATCGAATTGGCCACACCCCACAAGAAGTTAAATTGGAATTTAGAGTGGGAATGATAGGAATATATGCTGCATCTATCTATCTATCTATATATCTATCTATCATCTTTCTATTGTTCTTTTTATCTGTCTACCAAACCTTTAAACCTAAAGGCTTTTTAATCTTTAAAAGTATTTTTCTAGTTAAAAATATTTTCATTTCTTTGAGTTACAATTCCTTACATTAAAATTGAAATTGAAACTGTGCATCCTGTTTGCTACCCCATTCAATTCAAACTTTGTAAATGTGTGAAATTATATTTTGTTAACAATTACTGGGTTGATATTGATTCAAAACTAAAGCAAATCAGGTAGGAAGTAGAATCCTCACACCAGATCACATGTTGCTTAATGTTACATGAGGCCAAAAGTCCAAGAAAAGTTCCCAGAAACATTTTACTGAAGAAATGAATCAAGAGTACACAGTGACCCGGTATATCTTCAGTGCTAACACTAAAAGCTCTGAAACATTTATCCTTTTTTTTTTTTTTTTTTTTTTCCCCTTTCCCCTCTTAGACTTATATCAGCATGTAATTCAGTAAAATCTTTCCGAATATGGATCTTAGGTCTGAGTCATGTTTCACTGATTTTGAATGTGCACTGTATGTGATTGGGTGTGTGGATTCTACTTTACTCTTGAAATTCATCATACAAATATTCTGTAATAAAGAAGATGATCTTGATTAACTTGATCTCGCAATGAAAATAGTTTCAAAAGAAGCCAAAGCTTCAGGCTTTGCGTGTCGGCAGGCAACACAGACAGAAGCAGAGTTTATGAGTGCTGTGATATGATACCATCGTTTTTGCTCTAATGATGATAGTCTAACATGCCCACTAGCTTCCCGCTGGTATTTGTGAGTAGGCTACCACGTATTGTTTATACAATACATGTTTGATTTCATATATGAATCATTTTCAACCCACTCTGAATAAGGATCTCAGGGTTAGTAAACTTTTATAAAGCATTGTTTGATCTGAGCTACCACACACTGAGTCATTGTATGTTTGCTTCCAAAACAACAGTGATTTAATGAAAATATGATTAATTTAAATGGTTTTAATATGTGCAATTACAGATCAGCTACCAGAGCATTGAATCATCAGATCCTGGGATCAACGTTCCAGGCCCGAGGCGCACTGTATCCAAACTGAGGAACGAGACGTACCATATGTTCTCCAACCTGCATCCTGGCACCACCTACCTGATCTCTGTTCGGGCGCGCACCGCCAAAGGCTTCGGCCAGACAGCTCTCACTGAGATCACCACCAACATCTCTGGTGAGGAGTGTGTAAGGTTGTTTTAGGGGGCTTGTAGGTGTGGGTGTGTGCATATGCAAATGTGTGTTAAACAGCACTTCTACTTTAAATCTGACCCGTCCGAATGGAGTGTGTGTGTTTAAATGTTTACTGATCATGATTCAGCTACTAGTTTCCCAACACCGTTTAAGCACACTTATTTGATTGAGTCTTATCCAATTAAATGTACTCTGTTTTAATGTAAAAAGAAAAAGAAAAAAAAAGCTTGCCCCGGCACAAACCTGCTTTTTACATTAAAAACTACTGTCAGGATTTAAGACACACAGTGAAAAATTAGCTATGAAAAGGCATGGACACCATAATTTTTAAAGCTGACCTTATTGTATATGCATTTGTTGGAGTTTCCATTTCAGATGCAAAATGTATAGGTGGAGAGCAGTGCCTAAAGTTAACACTCGCCAAATGCGAGTAAAATGACCTTTGAGTTGAGAATGCAATATGGTTTAGCGCTATTATCGAATAGCAAAGACTGCATTGTAATTATGTAAATATGTAACCTTATGCACTCAGTTGTAGTCTTTTCACGTGAGCTGCTCATGTTTTTTCAGGTTTTTCAGTGTCTTGGAGCGACTTGGGTCACAGTAAATGCTGTTCTGAGCTCCATCTCTGCAAGTGCTGTATATTAACGTCAGTAAAGTGATTTTAGTTGGCATTTGTGAAGTGATTTTACTCGCCTAGGCTATGGTACATGAAAGAAAAAGCTTTATATGTGCATATTGTATATGCATCACAGGTATGTACATTAGTAAGAAATAATAAAAAAAACAGTTAATTTTATCACTTATGTTCTCTTCTCCTTCTCTGATGGGTTTGTTCCCCTCTTAGACTTATATCAGCATGTAATTCAGTAAAATCTTTCCGAATATGGATCTTAGGTCTGAGTCATGTTTCACTGATTTTGAATGTGCACTGTATGTGATTGGGTGTGTGGATTCTACTTTACTCTTGAAATTCATCATACAAATATTCTGTAATAAAGAAGATGATCTTGATTAACTTGATCTCGCAATGAAAATAGTTTCAAAAGAAGCCAAAGCTTCAGGCTTTGCGTGTCGGCAGGCAACACAGACAGAAGCAGAGTTTATGAGTGCTGTGATATGATACCATCGTTTTTGCTCTAATGATGATAGTCTAACATGCCCACTAGCTTCCCGCTGGTATTTGTGAGTAGGCTACCACGTATTGTTTATACAATACATGTTTGATTTCATATATGAATCATTTTCAACCCACTCTGAATAAGGATCTCAGGGTTAGTAAACTTTTATAAAGCATTGTTTGATCTGAGCTACCACACACTGAGTCATTGTATGTTTGCTTCCAAAACAACAGTGATTTAATGAAAATATGATTAATTTAAATGGTTTTAATATGTGCAATTACAGATCAGCTACCAGAGCATTGAATCATCAGATCCTGGGATCAACGTTCCAGGCCCGAGGCGCACTGTATCCAAACTGAGGAACGAGACGTACCATATGTTCTCCAACCTGCATCCTGGCACCACCTACCTGATCTCTGTTCGGGCGCGCACCGCCAAAGGCTTCGGCCAGACAGCTCTCACTGAGATCACCACCAACATCTCTGGTGAGGAGTGTGTAAGGTTGTTTTAGGGGGCTTGTAGGTGTGGGTGTGTGCATATGCAAATGTGTGTTAAACAGCACTTCTACTTTAAATCTGACCCGTCCGAATGGAGTGTGTGTGTTTAAATGTTTACTGATCATGATTCAGCTACTAGTTTCCCAACACCGTTTAAGCACACTTATTTGATTGAGTCTTATCCAATTAAATGTACTCTGTTTTAATGTAAAAAGAAAAAGAAAAAAAAAGCTTGCCCCGGCACAAACCTGCTTTTTACATTAAAAACTACTGTCAGGATTTAAGACACACAGTGAAAAATTAGCTATGAAAAGGCATGGACACCATAATTTTTAAAGCTGACCTTATTGTATATGCATTTGTTGGAGTTTCCATTTCAGATGCAAAATGTATAGGTGGAGAGCAGTGCCTAAAGTTAACACTCGCCAAATGCGAGTAAAATGACCTTTGAGTTGAGAATGCAATATGGTTTAGCGCTATTATCGAATAGCAAAGACTGCATTGTAATTATGTAAATATGTAACCTTATGCACTCAGTTGTAGTCTTTTCACGTGAGCTGCTCATGTTTTTTCAGGTTTTTCAGTGTCTTGGAGCGACTTGGGTCACAGTAAATGCTGTTCTGAGCTCCATCTCTGCAAGTGCTGTATATTAACGTCAGTAAAGTGATTTTAGTTGGCATTTGTGAAGTGATTTTACTCGCCTAGGCTATGGTACATGAAAGAAAAAGCTTTATATGTGCATATTGTATATGCATCACAGGTATGTACATTAGTAAGAAATAATAAAAAAAACAGTTAATTTTATCACTTATGTTCTCTTCTCCTTCTCTGATGGGCTGAAACTGACCTTTACATCTGTTCATCTGATGTGAACAAGCAATACATAACTTCATACTCAGAACAGGTGCTATAATTTCATGAGAGTAGTTTTTATAAGAACAATTTGTGAAAACGCAGAAGTTGCTTTTGTTTTGCATTATAGGAATAGAACAGGTACTTCTGCAATGATGCGAAATGCACGTGCATGTGTGTGAATGTTTCAGATGTGCCAGGTGAGATCTGTAAACTGTTGATTGAAATGCCTCAGATCATTCGGAGATGTCTGAGGTACTGAAATACACGTTGGCGGTTCAATAGTCAGGAACAAAGTGAAGCAAAAACAGATTTCACAGAAAAGGAAAAATGCGGAACTCCAGAGTTTCCGGTTCATCATCCTGTGCTTCAGGTGCGCTATTCATCTCTTAAGCGTGTGTGTGCGAGTATGCCCATATCGCCGCTTAGAGCCATTATGTATTCCCGAGTGGATCTGAGGAAGTGATAGTGAAACTGAATCGCAGCAGATGCTCAGAACCCAACAGGCCCTTCAAGAACATTACACGTTTCCCCTCGCCTCAAAGAGAACTGACATCACTGTCATCCTCACCATTCGAAAACCAGCCCGCCTTACAAAACAGCACCATATGCTGCTGTCAACCAAGACACAGCTGATGCTAAATCAGGATTCCTCAACACTGGACTGATGCGAAGTGATGTGCGTTAAAGCCAGCTTTTTCTCTGATGGTAACAAAGGAGATCTTCTGTTTTTTGCATAAGATTTTTTTTGCGGTGGCGATGTGACTGAAACACAAAATCCAATAAGAGAATTTAGTGTGTTGATAAGCAAGGCCCATTAATCTGCCAATATTTGGTTGTTTTGAGATTATTGGCATTGGCCTGATAACACGGTCTACTTGGCCAATTAACAGTCAAGGTTGTCACCTTGTATCAGTTTCAGAGTCTGCCAAAAGCATCGTCAGTGGAGAAATAAGTCAATGCACTTTTGTTTTTACTTTTAGTGATTTTTTTTTTGAAGGGGGGGGGGGGGGGGGAGATGTTTGGTGGGGGGGGGGGGGGGGGGGGTGCATTATTCTTCAGCAGTTTTAGTAACAGTTACATTTATTTTATTATTTTTTATGTTTGTGGTAATGTCCACATTTCTAACACCACTTTGAAACTGTGGGATTCAAAATAAAATTGAATTATGCATATTTAACTGCATAATATTATAATCAAGTTTTACACAAAAAAATGGTGGTGTTCATGCAGTTTGAGAAAATACTTCAAATTGTTATGCTGAGAATATAATTTGTAATGGAAATATACCTCACTGTATATTATGTGCATTATTGGTATGTTTCGGATGAAGGATTTTTAATTAGAATAGTCCAGAAGTCAAACAGAGAGATGCATTACACCCTTATTTCTGTGCATTTCAGTATGTACACCAAACCTCAGAGAAAGGTTTGCAGCATAGATGCTTTAGAGTTGTTACAGTATATCAATAGAGGCTGTTAGAATAGATGTACAATGACCTCTTGTATACTTGCTTGTCTGTGCATACTGTATTGAATATGCTCTCAGGTCCTCTCAGTTGCTTCATATGTATGTAGACCAGCATTATATTTTGTTTATGTGTTTTATTTGGTCTCTGCAAGCACTCAAAGCCATTCAAGGCCTCACTTTTACTGAAGTCCACTCAAGTAGCTGTAGTTTTGCCAAAACCTGCTTTTAATAACATAATCATTGATTTCTGGCAGATTGTTTGCCTTTGCTCATCAGCTCTAATTGACTGCCGATATTAAGGAATGTGTTATTGCTCAACACGACCATCTCAGGGGAAAGATGTAGTCCAGACTCAGATCCTTCTAAATGAGTTTCCCCTCTGTTTGTCCCACAAGCACAGCTTTTAATTACACCCTGAGTTCAAGACACGCAGAGGGACAAGTTTGGAGAAGAAAGTAGAGTTCATATGAAGTGTTGGTTGTTGTCATCATGAATTAGGGCGGTCTTATTTCAAACAACAATGTTGGCGTTGTTCGTAAGATTTGTCTAATTAAAATGTTTAGCTGGTTATGTTGGCTTTTAATAATTAGCATAAACTTCACTTTGCCTCACTTTGAAATGACGTAAAGTTAATGTACACAGTGGATTTGGATCCCAAATGATTTATTTTTAATTGCTGAGCTCTCGTTCATTTTTTTCTGCCCGGTGTTTTAGAGAAGTTTATTTTTGATAGTGAGTGGGTTTAAAAAGTTTTAGGAAGATATTATTATTACCTTTTTTCTCTCGCTTTCTGTCTCTCTTCGAAGCACCTACATTCGATTATGGAGACATGCCATCCCCTCTGAGTGAGACAGAAAGTACCATCACAGTCCTGCTGCGTCCAGCACAAGGCCGAGGAGCTCCGGTTAGGTGAGAGTGCCATTATTTTCTTAAAGGAATATTCCAGGTGGAATACAAGTTACCACTAAAAATTATTTCTACTAAAGTTTTTTTTTTTCCCCCTCACACTTAACACACATATTAGTTACATCCTGTGGCTATACTATTGCTTATTCACCAGGGTTAAGGTAACATTTCTCTTAAAAAACTTTATTTTAATGTTTTGTATGTTATACTTTAATATAGTTTAATATATTGTAAACTGTAACCCAGATTTTTTTCTTAAAGGAGACTAATTAATTTTTTTAATTAATCGACAAGTGCTGTCGATTGAGCTTATCTTGTGTTGAACCTGGAATATTCCTTTAACAATACTTTATTACTATTATATTTTTTATTAAATATATCAATGTGTGAATGTATCCACAGCACGTATCAAGTGATCGTGGAGGAGGAAGCTGGTAGGAAGGTGAAGCGAGAACTGGGTGTTCAGGACTGCTTTCCCATTCCCACATCTCACGGTGAGGCTCAGGCCCGTGGAGCTCCACACTACTATACAGCTGAACTTCCGCCCAGCAGCCTGCCTGAGGCTGCACCTTTTACTGTGGGGGACAACCACACCTACAATGGCTACTGGAACAGCCCTCTGGACCCCAGGAAGAACTACCTCATCTACTTCCAGGCCATGAGCAACTTTAGAGGCGTAAGTGTCAGAAACTAGCACTGTGTCTCATTCCGCTCTCAGTATATACTAAAGTATACTTCAGTTGTTACATGTATGTTAAGGGAATGCGTATATTTCATCATTAGAACAGTATGCACTAGGGGTGTAACGGTACACAAACATGACGGTTCACTATGTACCTCGGTTTTGATGTCACGGTTCGGTACAATTTTGGTACAGCAGGGGGAAAAACTAAACACATTTTTTATTAAACAGTAAGAAATTCCTCTTTCTTTAAATAAACTCCGTTATAATTCAAACTTTCTTATGGATAAAAATCTACCTCGGCTTATGCTCTAGTGAGCCCTTTTACATTAGGCCTAAGGTTCAAGTTAACAACAGAGCCCAAACTTAAATTTAATTACTATTTATTTTTAAATACTACAAGCAACACATCTTTTTGTGTTTGGTTTTCTGCATCTTAAACATGAATGTAATCTTTTTTTTTTTTTCATGGAAATTTGACAGATTTTATACATTGCTCTGAAACTATATTTTGACACACTCCTTTAGATTGTTTGCAGTCTGCACAGCGGGAGGTAAAGTGCAAAACCAGGGACCTAGAATAAATAGTGAGAATCACCTGCAGCTAGTAAATCTTCAATTAGCTGGATGTATAAAAACGTTATATCTTTGCTCGTTCTTATGGGATGTTGTTTTTCTCCCCCTCTCCTACTCAGTTGGGTTTTTTGGAGGCCTTTAAGGGAAATGCCTCTGTTGACCTATAGTACAGACACAAACTCCCTCCCCACCAAACCCCTCAGGGCTTCTCACGCTTTACAGACTGAAATGCACCTGTCAGCCAAGCCATTGTGACTCCACCTCCCCCTCGGGGTTCTCTCTACTTGAAACCGTACGTCTTGGAAACTGATCGCACAGCTCAGTCTCCTTTGGGCACTGCTGATTTACTTGACCGACCTTTAGCTAAATATTCATTTTTATTCAGCTATATTTTATGCTGCAATAACTGCCGTAAAGGCTGACAGTCTAAACTAAAGAGAGCATAGCTCAGGAGACTGAGCTTGCATTTAGCACTCTCCTGTTACCGATTTAAACAGTTCTGTTTTTTTTTTTTTAAATCTTGACTGCATATAAACAATGCTAATATACTTTGCTTTGTCTCATGGCCAACTTTATGGCTGTAAGTGGTTTTCAAAGCTTCTGGCAGCAACACAAGAAAGAAAGCCCTCTGCTGCATTTTTGGCCATTATTCTGACAATTAGCCATTAGAGAGCTGTGAATGTTGTCAGGGCTTCATGTGATTACTTTCAGTGATAAATATATATAAAGATGCTCTTAAAAGGTCTTTGATTCTCAGCTGTTTACAAAGAGCCGTTTTTCTTCCTTTCTCTGCTCTTTGTTTACTTTTATGTCCTCCGCTTCCTTAACAGTCCTTATAGGCAAAATAAAAAGACTGTAGCTGTCAGACGCTCTCTTTCACTCATACACACAGAAAAACTGTGATGTGCAATTTCTTTTATTTTTTTTAATGGCACTGAACCTTGTAGGACTGACCAGACACTTTCAAAGTGACTTCTCTCTAATTGGCATCTCTGTTTTATCAAGATGGGAGGCAAGAACTGATATTTCTCACCAAAATATGTTGAGCTGAAATTACCCCCTAAAAAATAAAGAGAAATAAAAAAGAAATGTAAATATAATAATTCATATCTAATTTATTATATATATATATATATATATATATATATATATATATATATGTGTGTGTGTGTGTATGTACATAAATATGTATTACACATTATTTATTTTCAATTATTAATAAATAGACTAATCAATTATTAATAAATATATTTTAAAAAAATTGTATTGTGAAATTTTCATGAAAATTCATCTTTCTTCAAATGCATTTTTCCATCAGATTTTCGTCGTCTTTTTCTTTTTGGTTCCTACTTTCAGTGGTATTTATCATTACTTTAAATCAGTATTTATTTTCACTTTACATACTTATACTGTAATTCATTGTTTTCTTTCAGCATAAAGGCGCTAGAACTTATACTGCCATGATCTAACCTAGATTTATTTGTTTCACATTACAGTAGCAAAATTGATTTGAGAGTCTTCATTTCCTGAGGAAAAATAACATTAATTCTTATGTTTCTCCTTTTTCCCTCTTTCTTTTTCTTGCATGCCTCCTACTCTGAACCAAGTAGGAGCTTTCTAATAAGTTCCTTTCCCACGCCTCCCTTGGCGTGTTATATTTATAGTGCTCATAATTCATTTACTTAGCTTAAGTTTGCTGACAGATCCCCTTTTGCAGTGTTTGCCATGACCGTTCCCACAAATTTGATTAAATAGAGCAGGGAAGCGTAAAGCTTTGTGTCTGCATCTGTCTGATCAAAGCCCACTGGCTGTCTCTCGCCTGTCATTCGGGGTCAGTCTTTTCTTACACGCATGGTGAGCTATGACTTGTTATGATGTGACATCTAGGACCGGCTCTGTGCTTGGAGAAAACAGGCTGTGTTTGCTAGGGGTGTGCCATGTCATACCGTCCACGATAATACCGGTATAAATTTTTACATGATAAAAAAGTGTTATATCGCGATATCAGTGATATAGCAACGCAATGACGTATGGCGGATATACGTTCCCTAGTGCGCACAACAACAACACCACAAACCCAATAGGTGTGTTCAACTTGAAGCAGCACTGCGCAGACTGATCATGTATGATATCAAATTATTGCGAGAGTGGTTCTAGAGCATATTCGATCCTTCAAAAATAGGCGAGGCTCATATATTTAGCGAAGCGGCGCTAGGGGGGCCCTGGCGATTTCAACTGACTGCCCGAGGCCAGCATAAAAAGACGGCCTGTACATCATCACGAAAACGTATCAATTGCACGTGTTTTAAGTCTTGCCAATTTAAACATTCAAAACAGTTTAAGGCATTCAAACACAAGACATGGAAAAACTCAACTGAGAGTTCGCGCACCGAGTTTGGTGCACACACGGAGAGCCACACAAACACCAAACCGAGCTCTTCTTCGCTTCCTCCCGTGCCTGAACAAACAAATACACCTCGCCATTCAGCACCTGCACGCTGTTCTGTGCGTACAGTATGCATGCAGAGAGCCACGTCTATAGCCCTTAAACACCGAATTGAGTTTTGTCTCTTCTTGCTCTTGAAACGACAAATACATACAAAATTGTCACAATACCTGTCTTTGCGAGTGTCCTCGAAAAAATGGTCGGTTATGTCTTAAGTGAAAGTAAACAGTTGAGAAAGAAATGGAATGCGTATCATTATATTGGATGTATTATCTCTTAAAGTGACCGCATCTAATTTGCTGTCAGTGTCCTTAATGTTAATCCAAGAAATTAAATAGGAGAAAATCACTCACTGCTCTTTACTGAATTACTTTGTAGTTTTAACAGGAATTAATCTATATTTAATTTATACAGTGAAGACTATGCAATGCTATTTACATTTGATTATTCAGTTTCGGTACCTGGACACTACTACTAACTTGAAAAAACTTAAAGGGGTCATATGATGTTTTTTTAAAGATCATTATTTTGTGTATTTGGTGTAACAGAATATGTTGACATGCTTTAATGTTCAAAAAACACATAATTTTTCAAATACTGTACATTATTGTAGGTCCTCTATGCCCCGCCTCTCTCAAATGTTTTGTTTTCTACAAAGTCCCTCCTTCCGACAAGCGCGGTCTGCTCTGATTGGCCAGATGAGCCAGTGCATTGTGATTGGCTGAACACCGCAAGCACTCGTCGGAAATTTAACGCCCCTTACCATAATCGCGAGCTTCATCTTTCAAAATAAATGTAAAGACAGATCGCATCATATGACCCCTTTAAACATTGTTTAATTTTTATATTTGTTTATTTGTGCTATTTACACAATTTCAAACAGGGCCCACTGGTACAACCTGCACTGGAGCCCCGCAAACCCCAGCTACGGCCCTGTACACCGATCCTTCAAGTCGAACACACAGCTGCTGCTGCTGCCTCCTTATGACAATAGATTTGCACTTCAAATTAGATAGTCTGTCATCGATGACAGTAGCTCATTGGAAAAGGATGGAAAATGCCCTTTATTTTGTTTGCACTAATAAATGCTGCTGCCTGCCAGCTGCAATCACCAATAAAACGTTGATCCATGTTTTATTTTCTATATCGTCATAAATATCGTAATCGAAAATATTCTTGAAATATCGTGATATAATTTTGAGGCAATATCGCCCACCCCTAGTGTTTGCTTTATCCCTGTGATATGCTCTCATGGGATAGTGTGTATTGGGAGCCATGGCACACTTGCATCTCAATGATGGCTGCTGGAACAGATAAAGATGAGTAAAAGCCTGGATTGGCCTACATGACATTTTTAAGCGTGTGGATGTTTTAGGGGGGGCTAAAATATCCATGCGTGTCCCTCTTCCCTCTCTTGAAACATCAGTGCGAGTCCGTCTCTACATTTTTTCTACCGCTCTCCCTTTTGCTTTTGTATGTTTTCTGAGATGATTTAGGGTTATGACAGGCTTTAGTAGCCAAGGCAGTTTGGAATGGATTTTCAATTTAAAAAAGCAGTTCAGCTGCAGTTTGAGCAGAGGCCTCTCACTCCTTTTCTGGATGGGAAGATTTGCATAATTGTTCCATAATGCCCGAATTAGCATCTGTAAATCTTAATTTGATAATGCATCTTCTTGTCGAGGTGGCAGGCCAGAATTGGATTATGGGCTTGGATCTCATTAGTGCTATTTGACAGAGGTCGTTTTCATAACACCAGTATGACATCAACTGCTATTTGGAACAAATTAATTCCTTTTTATAATTCTCTCCTGGTTGGAAGTCATCCCCCCTGCCTCTCTTGTCCTCTGCTGCCATTTTCTGTACATTAAAGGCTTATATCTTATCGCCACATTGGAAAAGTACACACACAAGTACGGTAGGTGAGTGAGACAAGGTGCTGTTTTTAAATGTATTTTTACTCTTTTACTGGCATTCATGCTGTTGTTAAATCAGCAAAAGTCAGTGTGAGCCCATTTGACTTCTCATCAGGTATCTGAAAGTCTTATTTCTGTCGTTTGACTGTTTCCCACAGCGTGACACTGCATCTCTGTTCTCTTTTTTCACAGGAAACAAGGATAAACTGCATCCGCATCGCCCGTAAAGGTGAGTTATTCAATGCTGATGCTATAGAATGTTCTTTGTAGAAAATACTATGCAGTTTTGTGCGAATTTTTTTTTGAAAGACAGAGTGAGGTGAATTGACCTATGCAGGGTCGAAATCAACGTACTCACGATTTGTATGAATTTAGAAAATGTACAGACTATAAATGTTTCTTACCAGCCATCAAACTGTTTTTTATATTAAAAAAATAAACAATAACTTTTGTAATTATGATTGTGAGTAATTATGAGTGGGATTTTAAAATATGTATTTTTGTCTTTTTGACAATGGGGTTACATTCAGATTTCATTCTGAGGGTCAGTGAAAGATGGAAAATGGTTGCAACAGATTTATTTTCTTTTTCTTTTAATTATGATATTACCCAATTAAAATTAAGTGAATGTAAAGAGTTTTTAAACAAGTTAAAGTACGATAGAGTGGCCACAAACAATAAAACATAAAAATTGCAGTGGATTGGATTGGATGAATGTTGTTATTCCGACTGCACAAGTGTAGGTTTTTCAGATTATTTGCTATTCACTTATTCACAATGTACATGCCTGAGGGCCACAACTCTTCCAAGATGCATTCTAGCTCCAGATCCCACAGGAACTAATTGTGCGTTCAAGTCATGTCGGATAGATCATATTTACGAGTTGAACGCACATGAACGCCACCACAAAGTCGTTATTACGAGTGGGGAAACTCTAAATTTTCTTTAAGCCCCGAGTATCCGAGTTGGGGGCGTGTCAGTGAGAAACATGATAGAATCGACGGTAATTTTTTGTTTAAATTGATAGTTTAGTGGGTTGTCAGTGACAAGTAGGCTACTGTAGAACTGCATGTCTGACAGAGGGAGACAGAGAGATTGCCAAAGTAAAACATAAATCACAATACTTATAGGTATTAAGCAGTGACATTGTCAGGATTTTTATGTACAAAAAATAAGCTTTTTGAATGTGGCAGGATTGTAATATAACAATAAATAACAAGTTTTTATGCGATACAGATTAAAGTGGCTTCATAAATTACTTTTTAAAAATATTAAAAACACACCTGATGCGAATTCTTTGCTCTTCATTTTCTATAAGCAGAGTTAACAGACCCTGTTGTATTTTCTTGTAATTTATTAAAAGAAGGTACACCGCCATCTTGTGCCGACTAAACTGACTTGAATGCACCTGACGTCGTAATTACGACTTGTCAGCTCGAAAGTACGAACGTCCCAGGAGGACTTGAACGCAGCATAACAGTTTGCTGCAGGCGGATGGTGCGTCAGTGTCGATTTTAGCATCAGAGACATCAAAAGGGGTGGAGATAGACCACTTGAATGGGAGAAATTGTAACGCTAAATAAGGCAGATTTAGTCCTGCTTTAAAGTTAAACAAGTCTGTTGCCTTTATTGATAGAACAATTGGAGCAGCTGTAGGAAGCCCTGCTTTAAAATAACAAAGGCCAATCACTTGATTGTTTACTCTAGAATGTGTATGTTCATTAGCAGGACTAGCCTGAAAATTGTTTTAATTTCATGATTTGAACTAAGTTTATTTAGACATTGTTGTCAAATTGTTATTAAAACTTTACCTTCACAGATTTGGGCCACATTCTCACAGCAGCAGAGTACGGTTGTCACTCCTAGATGAGGGATTTGTTGTGTTTTAGAGATGAAGGAAATGTCAGTAAACTTAGATATTGGCATGTACCTGTACCAGTACCTTTCATGTTTTTCTAAAAAAAAAAAATTCTTACAGTGTATAACCAAACTCACACTGTTAAATTTTCAGGACTTACTCATTTTCGGGAAACCCGTGGTGTGTGAACGGAAATTGGATTGGACAATTAGTCTATAATTTCATACAATGCGAGAGAGCCACTCTGAGCTTTACATAAGTGTGTCTGTAAAGTGTTTCAGGTTTCATGTGTGATTTTGGTAGCTTACAAAGATGCAGATATGAGATGCATGCCATCTGAATGTTTTCTCCCATCAGTTTTGCTCCACTGTCTACTATAAAAGCTTCTGGAGGTTAGTTAAGATTTGATGGATGAACTCACAATTGGACTTTTGTCATTTCAAAAGTGAGAATACTTTAAAGCTTTGTTTATCTCACCATCTTTGAGATTGTTATGTTTAGAGGTGATGGTCACGAATAGAATACAGGCTTTACGTCCGTTGCATGCTCATTCAAGCTGCTATTTCAAACTGCTCTGTGAACAGGATATCATGAGACTTACACCTGTAAGTAAATTCAGCTGTCAATCCCAAACACTGACAGTGTGAATGTAGCCTCAGAGATTTCAGTGTTTCAACATTCAAGTAATGACCGAGGGACACTGCTAGGCCAGGTTTTGATATCAAAGTGGTTCCCCTCTTCCAGGTCAGTAGTCCAGCTCTGTGGTCATTGCTCAAACCTCTCAGAGCTGTACCACTGAGAAACACTTCATAATGGTTCACTAGCTAATCTTACACGTGCACGTTTTCCCCCAAGAGCTCAGATTTCCGACACAAGTTTCAAGCATCTGTGGATTCCCTAAAGGGCAAAGTAAAGTGTACAGCTTTGGGATGTGTATTGGTTTACAGTGAAATTTTGTGTGTAGACACACACAGATTTGTTTCCCTCATACACCCCCCTTCCCCTTCCCCTAAGGGGAGGTCCCTTTTCTCTTCTGGAGACAAGGGCACTAACGGAGAACAGGTCACTCTTTCATGTTTTGGTTGCTTGCAGTAGGGGAGTGTACTATATCAAAGCAGATTTGTCTGAGGCAGGCAGTCTCGCGCAGACACGCAGCAGCACGCGGGCAGAGAGGGAGATCAATTTTCGGGTCCCTGTCCGGTCAGGAGAAAGACCTTCACATCAAACACCACTGATGGAGTCACCTGTGCCTGTCAATACATGCTACCACCTGTCAGGCCCATCAGAGAAATATGAAAAGGTTCGGGAAGCATAGATTCCTGTCAAGGCAACAAGAAAGAATCACACTCCCTTCTATCGAACACCATCAGGGATCAGTGTGGGCAGGATGGTATTGTAGTCTTCAGCATTTGTCGTTAGTGAGCACAGCCTCCCAGTTAAATCGACCTGGCATTTATTTGATACTGAGTAATGAAGGTGACGGCTAGCCTTCCGAGCATGAAGCCAAGAGGCGCAGTGGACATTTTAGGCCAGTTTTGTCATCCCATCTGCTCAGTGGGCACAGACAGACACACATTTAGGATGTGGGCTCACACGCCAACATATTGATGAACAAAATGTAGCTCTCTCGACTTCCTCAACAGGAATGAACGATTAAACAAATTAACAAACAGAAGGACAGGAAACTACATTTCACTACATTTACTTCTTGTATTAGGATCTCTCATAAAGGGTCTATATAATAAAAAGGAATCCAGCTTGTCAAGAAAATCCATAATTGAGGTTGTTGCTTTTGATTGGCCATGTATCAACAGTCAAGGTCCAGAAGAAAATTGACACCCTGATTTGCTCGAAACGCAACCGTAGTCTTACAAAACTAAGCTGCCAAGATTCCCATTTCATTGCACAAGTGACAGTTTAATTAACAGTCCCTTGGCAATCTTCACAGAACAATAGACTTTCGTTGTAACTCCAAGTGCTAATTTCCACTTTTGGTGTGCTCAGCAGGTGCTCACATTAATCTTGAAACAAATTTCATGCCTGTGTTGGGCTTAATTGATATTCTGAAAGGAAGTTCAGCACAACGATAAAAATCTGATCAGGTTTGCATCAAACTTTAATGGATGTTTTTCCATCTATATTTCATGCAATGAATACCTCATTAAGAACTTGTGATGTAGCTGTTATTGTGAAGATTATGCATGAACTTGCATGTCTTATATTTGGAATGTTGAACTTGAATGTTACGGTAGAGCTATTATGTTGGCACAATATCCTACACCAAGTCTTTGTTTTGTTTAACAGTAAAAAAAAATATCTGAGCATCCTTAAAACAAGATAATTTCACATGAGAAGCAATGCATTTTGTGTTTTAAATTATTCCATTGGCTGGCCTTAAAAAAATATTTACTGAGGTTTATTTTTTACAAAGTTAAAAAAATGATTACTGTATATAGCAAGATGAAATGCACTTAACATCCAGGATAAATTCTCTCCAAACAAATCTAATGTGATTTTGTATATATGTGTGTATATATATATATATATATATATATATATATCGTATTAATTTAATTTAATTGTAGTTCAAAATGTATTTGCAAATCAATGATTTCTGCTTTTTTCACTTAAATTTTCCTGTTTCACCATTTTTGGAAACAAGATTTGTTTTTATAGAGCATTTAATTGTAGATGTAATAAATCTAGATCAGATCCATTCACTGTTGACATCTAAAGAATGATGTTTTCTCTCCAAGCACTTTGGTCCAATGAAAAAAAGAAAAGAAAATTCTTTGATTTACTCAATCTCATATAGTTACAAACCTGTATAACTTTCTTGTTTTCCATGAAGTTACTCTGAATGGGTACCTTTAAGCTTAAAAAAGACTCAGAAATATATCATAGAAGTAGTCCATTATTAGTAGTAGTCTAATCCTTATGCAATATATTCCAAGTGTTTGGAAGCTATACAGTAGCGTTGTTAGAGGAACAGACCGAAATTTTTATTTTTTGTAATTATATGCATGCATACACTCAGATGCCATACTATAACTCCAGTCAATGGAAAAAATGCAAAAAAAACAAATCTCTTCAGTTTTCAGAGGAATTTCTACGCCATTCTGGGAAGTTTTGAAACTGCCTTTGGCTGTTGAGGGAGCAGAGAGCACCGTGGCAAAATCTCTTTCTTGCTGCCCCACATCCCTCCACATGCTTATGACTTATTTTTAGCCTTGGCCTTGCATGGAGCCCTAAAGCAGACCTTTTTCCTCAGGCCTTGGCTCACACTCTTTTTCATAGAGCCCCGTAACTTTCAGGCCACTGAGACCTTAAGGAAGCGCTAACACTAGGCAGAGTAAGATGATCTCTAGTCCCTCTTGAACAAGATGTAGGACTCCCATTATGGATTTGACTAAGCAGACATGGCCTCATTGGCAAATAACCCGTTATTAGTTTAAATAGCCATTTGCTGGTTTCCTGGAGCCATGTCACTGGTTGTTTCATGCGATTATCAGGGTTTTTTCCACTCTTTTCAGTGAGTTCTAAATTGTTGTGGCAACGCACCTGCTTGCCTTTGCCAAATCAATGAATAGTGTAACAGCTGAATGTCTGTCTCAAGGAAAATGTCTGCTTGATTATGTGTCATGGACCACTTGTTTATAAATTATCTTAATGTGTCTCGCATAATTCCTCCTGCAGTTTTAATATATGTTAGCATAGAACATTATATTTCAGATTTATTTGAATTACCTAACACATACTGTGGTATGTAATATTTAAATACATAAGAATTTATATATTAAAAAAATAAATAATAATACATATATGAAGCGTTCAGATGCAAAAGCCTCTAAGTGCCATCTGAAATTTTCTTCTAAAATTAGCTTTTTTTTTTCAAGCTCCTGTGATTACGTTCAGTTATTTTACTTTAATGGCAATGAGAAGAACAACTTAGGGTTTAATATTTTATCTTTAATCATTATAGTTGGATTAGGATTTGCCACACAACAATGTTTCTGTGAAAAAAGCAGAACATACAGATTTCCATTAATGTTCACACATACTCATAAAAAAAAAAAAACATGCAAAACATCCCCATTACAAGCATGGGTGTGAAAGAGTATAAATAGCCCAGCTGCTGCGTGTCCAGGTTAGGGCAATTTGCCTCAGGCTCCACTGGATATGCACACTTTCTCTTTACTCTCTCTCTTGGATCACACAGTCTCATTTTGTGGTGTGACAGAGTCATACTATCCCCAGGAGCCTCCGATTGTGAAATGACCCCTGCCCACATGCTGTCAATGGAGACAGGTGCCGTGGATAAATAGCTGACCGGGTGCAGTTGGCACTGGCTCCACAGAGAAGGCGTGCAGTCTGCGTGGTACAGTAGAGAAACAGCTCATGATGAGCAATTGAAGGAGCCCTCAGGATTGCCAGATCTTTTATTTCTTTCACCTTGGCTCATGACTGCATTTTGGGTTTTTCAGGACTAGATTGTAGATGCTTTTCTCGCTTGCTTTCTCAGATTGTCAATTTTGTCTTGTGCCTCTATCAGTGAATGGCCATAGGTCTCCCTCTGCTTTTCAATTTGAATATCTGTTTATTTCTGCTAAACCTGCTGAACAATCCAGCTAAAGTCAGCTTGTTTTAAATTGTTGCTATCTTAGAATTAGACTTAGTCAGGTTAGAATAAGTACACCACTAACGTTCAACACACAACACACAATAACGTTCTGTTTATTATAAGTGTGCACTGCAGTTCTATTGTCTGTCGCTTTAAATGCTCAAGCAGGTGGATTCTGATTGGCTGTCAATGTTTTGGCATTCATCAGCTAGAAAAAAATATTGTTTCTCTGTGTTGTTATCGTTACAGTTGTGGTGTCGACTTTCCTACTTTCATAGAATTAGAACGGCGATTAAAACTTTATAGTTATAGTTATCATCATAGGTGTGAATGGGCCTTTAGTGTTGAGATCATAATTAACATGTTCCTTAATCTAGTATAAACTGTTCTTTTCCATCAGGCTTCATTTGAATCTTTTTCCTCTCCTAAGTACTTTGGATTTGTGTGTTTGTGTATTGTTTGCTGGTTAATATGTTAATTCTTGCTGGTTGCTATGTTTATATATAATTGCTGGTGTTCTCAAATGTTACGTATGTTTGTGTGTTCTTCAGCCGCCTGTAAAGACCATCAGCGAGCTCTCGAGGTCACGCAGCGCTCAGAGGAGATGGGACTCATCCTAGGAGTGTGCGCTGGTGGACTGGTGGTCCTGATATTGCTACTGGGGGCCATTATCATAATCATTAAAAAAGGGTGAGTTCTTCTGGTCAGAATAAAAACATGAGAGCCAAAGCATGCTTTGCTTTAAATCATGAATGTAAAGCAAATGTATTTAGACATTTAAGTCACACTTATAAGTGTAGCATTATTATTATAATAATATATATATTTTTTGATATATTTATATTTTGTATTATCTTTAAAATAAAAAATTATATTATATTTCAATCTATTATATTTTATTATGTGCAGTGACATTTGTGCATTTTAACATGTGACTTAAGTGTCCAAAAACTTTTTGGAGCCACTGAATGTGCTTCAAAACAAAGAACTGCTTCAAAATTATGCTGACACTTATAAGTCTGTCGGCCATTTTCAAATATATCTTGTGAAAGTACTTTTTAAATTAGACTTACTGTAATCTGTTCCTGAGAGACCGGGCTATTGTGCGTTCAGCTATGACTAACTTAAACCTACCCATTGTGGTTTATGACTTATTCGGCTCAGTCAATAGGCACCCAGGTGTTCTGCGCTGCATTCTCACATGCATCGGCAGAGGTTTTCATCTTCTGAGATTATCTGAGTGTGAAATATTTAATTAAAGAGAAATGCAATTCAATTACTCACTTAATTAGGCCCTGCCCGCTGCCGCCCTGATCCAGAAATGAGCAAATAATTGGGATGGAAAAAGTATGCTTTCAGAGATAATTAACCCACGGTTCTCAAAAGGTCATCAGATCCAGTGGCAAATGAGAGACACAAGCCTCTCGTTCCTCAAACGGCACCAATCGCTGAAGATGAATCTCCGCAATGGTCATCTCATAGATTCATCTTCAACAACAGATACAGACCATTCACCATCTGAATTCCTCTCATGCATGAATTATGATTCCCTAAAGGCTACTGTTTTAGACGTTTGTCTGCTTGTCTGATGGTAGCTGGTTTTAGATGGTTTATTGCTGGTTTTGGGGATGCACAGATATTAAAATGATGGCCAATACGACAGTTGCTCGTATTGCTGTTTTTTAAAGAAAATTGGTCCCACTTTATATTAAGTGGTCCTAATAACGGTGTACTTACATAGTAACTAGATGTGTATGTAGTATGTAACCACAGTGTAAGGACACATTGGTACATAGTATCTACAGCTGTAATATTTCTCTAGCTACACACATGTAACAACCCTCAGAATGGTTTGTGTAAGTACAAATGTGTAACAGGAATTATATAACTACATTTTGTAACAACAATATGTATAAGAGTAATTGGAACCATTTGATCCAGGGGGTGGAGATGGGTAGGTTTAGGGATATGTAAAATGGGAGGAGTTGGATCTCGAGTTGGTGGAGTTGATGCACCACTGTAATACCAGTGTACTTGCATGGTAACTCCTCAGGAACTGTCCACTTAATATAAAGTGTAACATTCTGGACACCAACCACAATTTATATGTAAAGCCTAACTTACTGGCCGCTGCTGTGTAACATCAGAGTAATTACATGGTAAATCTAATATAAAGTGTAACACTTTCTTTACCAAAAAGTGTTGTTACCAATGTCCTGTTACACATTTGTACTTACACATACCATTCAGTGGGTTGTTACATATGTGTAGTTACACAAACATTAGAGCTGTAGATACTATGTACCAATGTGTACTTTCACTGTGGTTACATACTACGTACACATCTAGTTACTATGTAAGTACACAGGTATTAGGACCACTTAATATAAAGCGGGACCGAAAATTCATTAAAGGTCCCCTGAAATGCTTAGAAACATGTAGTGTTACTCTATGTATTGACGTCATTTTAACTGAAACAGGAAGACAGGGCGGGACATATCAAGCAGTCCCGCCCCTTTTTAAAATAGCCAATAGCGTTTGTTTATATCACAGCTTGGGCTAGAGCCGTTGAGCTCCGTAAAGCCGCATTTGACAGGGTATGCCAGCCACAATCTCATCCATATTGCTATAAAATATAGCATTCTGTGTAGAATTCAAATAGCTCCGATACATTTTGTGGTCTGCGCCGACTCGTTCATGTGATCCGCTCTGTGCTATCGTGTCTCTGGACCGGAGCAGAGCGTGTGTGTGGTGCGGTGGTTAGCCAGACACAGCGCGAAACCAGACTTCTTTTTTTCCTCAATGGAAAGCATATTTACACTGTTTGAATCGTTCCCTGTCCCCTATATAGTGCACTACGTGCCATTCACTGTACAGAAAATACTAATTCTGTGGACAAGTGACCGATCTCAGCCCCGCGGCTTCAGCGTCTATTTTATAGTGTAGGGGGCAGGCGCTTCGGATTCTAGAGAACATTTGATTGGACAGAAAGTTTGATGAGAAGCTGAAGTACGATGTGACGTCAAAACAATCGTTGAGCCGTTTTGGTGGAAGTGACGAACTGCAAGCTTTGAATGCTTATATCTTCTAAATGCGAATTTTGTCACTGTTTTGGAACAGATTGCCTTATAGATAACCTTAAGACTAACATATTGATACTAACACCCAAAAAACTTTAATTTTGATTTCATGGGGACTTTAAATAAAAATCTACTTTACTGTTTTGTCTAAAAATAATTGAAAATCTCCACCAAAACAAATGTGACACCAATATATCACACATCACTAGCTAGTTTTAATGGTTGACCTGGTGAACTTTCTTGTTCAACCTGGTTGGATCTGATAGGATCTGATCTGAGGGGATCCATCTTGTAACCAGCTACCAAAAGCAAACCAGCTTGACCACCTTTGGCTACTTTGTTCTGGTACTATATTTCTAGGTCAAATATTATGGCCAATTTGTTTGCATTTGAGCATTTTAGTTATCAGCACATACCTCTTCAGCCTCTCTCTTTCATTTTCTGACCACTGGAAAAAAAAAAGTGCCGCGAAACCTCAGCGCAGTCATTTAGCCGGAGATAAAGTGTCACAGGAACGTGCCTACTTCAGCTAGCGATGGGAGCCCTTCCTGCTGAAATGGAAAGAAATATACCAGGCCTTTGTGTAAAACAGAAAATTTAAGCCATTTAACCCAAATGCACCCCAAAATTGAGTTGACGTTTGTAATACTAATGCAGATGGGAGTGCTCTCCAAGCGTTTCATTGGACAGTTTAGCAGATATTGGGTTAGATTGCGCTGCTGAATTGCTGTGAAGGCACGACTGCGGAGAGCGAATATGAAAGTCCCTCTCAGCAGGCCACTTTGTTGAACTCGTTAAAAGCAACATGATGACGTATTTGATTAGGCCGCCATTTCCCACTCTGGCTGAGGCTTTGTGCATATCTGCATGTGTCCCATTACTCGCGTGGCAAATGCAAGCTGCTGACGGCTTGCCATTTTTCACTCTAATCAGAGCTCTACCAGTGCTTGCATCTCATGTCCCTTCTTCTTCTTGTTCTCTTTTTTCCCGTTTTCTTCTTTTCCTCTATTTTTTTCTCTCTCTCTCCAGAAGGGATTACTACTCATACTCTTATTATCCGTAAGTGGCTTCTTCTCCATTGCACATCATCATTTCTCATGGCTTTTTTGTGCGCTTATTAGAGAGGGGACGGCAGCGGAGTGATGATCTTCTCTTTCTCTCTCACCAACTCCCCTAACTCGCCTCATCTCTCTCTCTCGTTTCCTTCACTTTCCATATCTCTACCTCCCCTTCTCCTCTCCTCGCCCTCTTCTCTCTGTCTCCTCAGTAGGAAGCCGGTGAACATGAATAAGACCCCCATTACGTACAGGCAGGAGAAGAGTAATATGATGGGCTCCATGGAGTGCAGTTTCACTGATCAGAGCACTCTGCAGGAGGACGAGAGGATGGCCTTGTCATTTATGGACACCCATACGTGCAGCACTCGCAGTAAGATGTGACAAGACACAAGCATACACACCTCAACTTGAACTTAAGCTTAATTGCTGACTTAAAAACGGAACTATGCGGTTTTATCATTTGGATTTAATTCTGGATTTTGCGTTGAACAGAAACTATATATAATCTGCTGTGTTAATGAAGCAATGCATGGGGAAAAAACTAATAACAGAGTAGCATGCACTTGTCTTGCTTTGTTTCAACTAATTTATTCCAGTTAAATGAACTTGCACATTGCATTACACAAACTGAAACAATGACTCCAGAGCTAATACTCCTGACAGATAACGAGGAGTGACAACTTCCACATCAACAACATTAGCATCCATATAACTGATTCAGGTCGCATTGCATGATGGGAACTCAAGTAGGTCTGAAGTTATGCAGAAATAGTTCACCCAAAAAATGATGTTTCTGTCATGATTTGCTCACCCTCATGTTGTTCCAAGCACATCAGACTTTCTTTCTTCCGTGAAACATAAAAGGAGAATTTGGATGAGGACTGTGGATGTCAAGCTACAAAATGACACAAGGAACCATGAAAGTATGCTAAAAGTCTTCTGAAGCCACATGATAGCTTTGTGGGAGAAACAGACAGATATTTAGTAATTCTTCACTGAGAATCTTGATTGTGTGAGTTCATAAGCGCGGTAATCATGTCCAGTTCAGAAAACAATCAATCATTTGAGTCAGATCTTTTCAGTGAAGTGGTTGATCCAGTTCACAGAGCCGGTCTGAATGATCCTGTTCTCGGATTTAAATCAATGATTCAATAATCCAGTCAGTCAGTGGTTAACAGTTCCCATTCAGTCAGTCACGTTCAACGTTACGTCAGTGACTGACGAATTGGGATCTCGCCCGAGAGCCCAATCACCTTCGAGTGTGAATAACAGCTTAAATTTAGTCTGTTCCTTAAACAAAGCATGCCTTAAAAACACAAAGCACCCAAGTCATTTTGACTGCTTGCATGATATTTTTATGCTATTTTCCCATTCATTTTAAAATCTAAAAAGCTCCAAAATAAACATTTTAAAAGCCTTGATATTTCACTGAAAAAGCAACTATTTCTCCTTCATGTGTTCGACATGAAAAAATATAGGGGTTCAAAACCACATGAAGGCATGTAAATGATGACAGAATTTAAATTTTTGGAGGAAACTGTTCTATAAAGTTCATTAGACTTAATCCAGCACTCTTACTTAATTTGTGATTAAACTGATGAAAGAAACTAGTTGTAAACTTTGAGTAGAAAAGGCAGAAAATAGAAACAAACAAACATATTGTACTGTTTAAAAATTCTTACATTTGTTTTCTCACACTCAGAGGTGCTAAAAGCGAGAGTATCAGGCGCTAACGGCAAAGAGTACAAATGAATAGATACAGACTGTGTCACGCACACAGTTAAAGTGAAGCTTAGGGACTTACTCGGTCACCTCCTGTTAATTTGTCCTCATTTGTAGGCAGTATGTAAGCTTCATCAAAGCCACAGTCCTTCTGTAATCACTCAGTCTTTCACAGCTCTAAATATAAGATGTAGTGCTGTTGATGTAGTACATTCTCATACCCATTTTCCTCTGACGTAAGACTGTAAATCCTAATATAAACATAAATACATGAAAAAGTAGAGTGAATGAATAGTATTCTTAAAAATGCATTTATGAACACATATTCGACAAACATAACCAGTTTATGAGATGCAAATTGACTCAGATCTGCACCAGAAGCTCATCCTTAAAGGCATCATGGTCGAGAAGAAATTAGAGCATGCAAAAAAGTTGAAAAATGCTAATAACATCCGATTCAAAGGTATCTAACTCTGCATGCACTGAATAGTTGATGTCTCAAAGAGAGAGATCTCTTGATCAAAATGAAGTTTTAATGGCACGTCTCCGAGCTGTCTTGCCACATTTTAAGAGTCTACTGCATGGAATATACTGTCTGGGTTTCTTCTTTCCTATTTCCGTTGAGAAATGAGTAGCAGACTGCTAATTTATTTGAATACACAGCCCTAGTCATGAATTTATAATTGCTCCCTGATCATATTTATGAATACCAATTATAAACACAGAAGATGAAGTGCCATAAGGGGATGATAATTCTCAGATTAACCCATACTTGTTTGGAGTTTTGTTATTCTTATAAAATGTTTATTGGTTATGAAACTTTTCTAAGATACCTGAGCTGCTTCAGGAATAGCTGTTTCCTATACTTTTATATCCTTATATGAAAGATATCATGCAAACATTTGATCTGTGCTTGTTCATTTTTACCAAGGTGATCCACGGAGCTCTATGAATGAGTCCAGCAGTCTGCTGGGCGGATCGCCTAGACGTCAGTGTGGCCGTAAAGGATCACCCTATCACACGGGTCAGCTTCACCCAGCAGTGCGTGTCGCTGACCTCCTACAACACATCAACCAGATGAAAACTGCAGAAGGTTACGGCTTTAAACAGGAGTACGAGGTAGGTTTTATTTTTTATTTTTATTTTTTTTACAGACATGTAAAGTGACTGATTTTTTTTTTGTGAGCAACATGTTGTAACTAACCAGCTTATTTTACTTTATTTGTGCAAAATAGTGTGTATGTCTTAATACAGTAGGAAATTGTAAGATAACAGTATATTTGCTACTCACTGCTTAACTTTGTCAAATCCAGCAACTAGTTTTTCCTCAGTAGCACTCATAGTAGCAGCCTGGGAACTCAAAACACTTTGTATCCTAGATGATGTACACTTGTTCGCTTGCTACCAAATTTTTTATAAACCCAGCTAATTGGATAGGAACTTTTGATTTCAGCCAGCTAGTGTTTTTTATTTTTGGGTGTGAATTATGAATCAAACTGTTCATGAATGGTCTGTCGGCGTGCCTATGTTGAGACTAGTCTTAAAGGGGTCATATGATGCGATTTAAATTTTTTCTTTCTCTTTGGAGTGTTACAAGCTCTTGGTGCATAAAGAAGATCTGTAAAGTTGCAAAGACTAAAGTCTCAAATCCAAAGAGATATTCTTTATAAAAGTTAAGAGTCAACCACTCCTATCTAAAATGGCTCGTTCTAACACACCCCCACATGTCTATGTCACGATGTGGGAAGATTTGCATAACGCCGCCCAAATGTTCACGCAAAGAAAGAAGGCGTAACTTTGATTCTCGCTGTAGTATTGCTGTTGCCGCCGCCGCCATGTCGTGAAGGCGCTGTGTGTTTCATTGTGAAAGCGAAACTACTTTGTTTGGCCTTCCAAAAGAGGACGATATCTTGATTCTCGCTGTAGTATTGCTGTTGCCGCCGCCGCCATGTCGTGAAGGCGCTGTGTGTTTCATTGTGAAAGCGAAACTACTTTGTTTGGCCTTCCAAAAGAAGACGATATCCGCTTCGTCATGCCTGGAGCTGATCCGTGCTGGTCGCTGAGGAAATACATCAACTTCACGCTGTGAATCACCAGATCGGCTTTGACCGTGGACAAAGCGGAGTCCAGCCCGGGGTCGCCACATGTGGTTGCCGCAAACTTCGTCGAATCTGCCGGCTGCACCGTTCTCAAACCCGCCCGCCTCCACTCACTCAAGCCGGCCTCCACTCACTCTAGCCCGCCGTGTGTTTCGTTGAGAAAGTGAAACTACTTTGTTTGGCCTTCCAAAAGAAGACGATATCCGCTTCGTCATGCCTGGAGCTGATCCGTGCTGGTCGCTGAGGAAATACATCAACTTCACGCTGTGAATCACCAGATCGGCTTTGACCGTGGACAAAGCGGAGTCCAGCCCGGGGTCGCCACATGTGGTTGCCGCAAACTTCGTCGAATCTGCCGGCTGCACCGTTCTCAAACCCGCCCGCCTCCACTCACTCAAGCCGGCCTCCACTCACTCTAGCCCGCCGTGTGTTTCGTTGAGAAAGTGAAACTACTTTGTTTGGTCTTTCAAATAAGGACACGACTAGAAATCAGTGGTTAAGTTGTATTTACAACACTGTTCCAGAACAGTTCAACCCAAATATTCAGATGTGTCCAGTGCATTTTATGGAGGATTGTTTCCTGATCCTGGAAGAGTAGACTACAATGCCGGCTGTTTTGACTCACAGACTGCAAGTACGTTTTTATATTTAAAGAATCTGCCACTGACGATTCAAACACGAGTTTTGAAATATTCTTGTTTAGCTGTTGTTTAATACTGATTTATTTATTTATTTATAAGCCAGCAGAAAATCAAGATATAGAGATATCAATAATAATAGTAGTGTTTCATTCATTTATATAGAGCTCAAGTTTGCTTTACAGTCATTGAGTTACAATACTGAGTTATTGAAGTAACTGCTCCTTGTAGGTGCACCTGTTGCTTAAATAGCTAAAAATGCTTAAATAGCAATTTAAGAGTTTAATTCAGAGGAAACCAGATCTATTGGCTATTTCGACTTTAGTAGTATATCTTGAAAAAAACATTCAAGCAAGATGTTTCAGTCATAATAATATAAATCTTTCAAAGCTGCTCACACAGATTTTCTGATTAAAGAAGTCAGAATATGCTTCGGCTTTAGTGCTGCTTACAATGCGGTCTATCTGGGAGCTGCCGTTACGTTAGTGGAAGGACCTGTCAGTGCGAACAGATGTCTGGCTGGGAGGTCTGCAAGCCTTGTCAAAACAGACCTCTGCATCGAATCCCCAACACACAAACACATTAATGCAAAGATGCATGTTTATGCACAAACACACATTCCAAACTTCTTATCATTTCTCAACAATATGACATCCTCACACTGTTGTCATGCCCTGCTGAAGTAAAGCTGCTCATTCCAGCTTGAGGTAGTCAGGATGGTTTTTGGAACATGGCAGCTTGTTACTAGCCCAAACCAATTTGACCTCAACCTAGTTTTGCATAGATATTTGACATAAGGTCTGGTTCACATTTCAACTTATTTTTATCTAGAACTGCTTACTTAGACTGGAAGACTTCAGCTTTTGTATGTCTTCTTAACTTATACTTTATTAAATTCAAAGATATGATGCCAACTATTTTACAGTCGTTGGTGGATTATAGCTTGTTAGATCAAGAAAGTGCTTTGAAGTTTTGTGTGCAATATGAACAGACAGTCGACAGGGTGCCGTCTTAGACTAACCTGATAGTCCAGCTGAACAACTATCTAGACCAGCTAAAACGTGTAAATCCACCATCTCAAAATTGGTTTTAGCTGAGTGTTCTAGCATGGTTCTGTGCTTAGGCAACATTTCCAATATGAAATCACTTCAGTAATGCTTCTACTGTTTATGTTGCATTTTATTGTTATAATTTAACCTGTCTTTAAACATGTTGTTGCAAGTGAGATTTAAATCTCTTTTACAAGAGAGATCAGGCCAAGAAAATTAGTAACCAGATCCAGGTGGCATCAAAAACACACAATAAATAAATATGAGTAGAAAATAAAAAAATCATTTATAGCAATTACAATCAAAGTTTTTTTTTTATTTAACAATAGTTCTAAACTCACTAAGAAAAGCCTTTATAATCTGTTAGGCTCAATTTGAGATTTAGCTTATAATCAGAGAGTCCTTGACAATAATAACATGTTAAGGCATTATTATTATTGCATTAGTTATATACTTTTAAAGTATTTATTAATAATTTGAATTGGCTTTTATTTTTAGAGTTTCAGTTTTCATTTTAAGTTTAGTCATTTTTTGTGGTTTTGTCATTTTTATTGTTTTTAATATTTTACTTTAGAAATACTTGAATATTTCTATGAAGGTTTATTAAAAATTTTTGTAGTTTTATTATTTTAGGGTCCTTATTTCAGTTTTCAATTTTGGTTTGTTTTTCAACTAATATTTATATTTTATTTCAGCTTTATTTCAATTACCGAAAATTTTTAACAGTTTTAGTTTTAGTTATCAATAACAAATCTAATGTAAAGTGATGAGTATATGTTATAAATGAGCAGTGTGCAGTGAACCTTGATGTATTGTACATTGTGTATCACAGTTGTGACTTGGCTAACTTTCAGAGCAGTAAGTTTGAGCTGTTCTTCACGGACAGGTTCGCATCACTTCCCTTATGGACTATAGAGGAGCAGTTATTGAGATGAAAGTAGAGGTCATACAGCCCTTCAGCATTACTGCACAAAGTGTGCACTACACTGCTGTCTCTTTTCCTCCCTCTATCCCTCCCTCTCTTCCTCCATGGCTAATTTTCTCTCCTCAGAGTGCGGCTCGAGCATCTCCTCTTGGCGCCGCATTCATGTGGACTGTTGACTCTCCTCTGTCTGTTGTTGTCCTCAGAGCTACGAGACAAAACATCCCTCCATATAATCAGAGCTCTGCCACTAGCCTGCCTCTCTGGAGCGAGGCAACTCATTAACCCCCCCAGTGTAAAACAGATTCAACTCAAAAATCAATACGCACTTTCCTGGACATAGTGACACTGTGTGTGTGTGTGTGTGTGGGTCAGTGTCTTTGTGCTTCATAAGCGGAAAAGAAACCGAGTTTGAGAGCACACAAATGTAACGGCAGGGTTTCATAAGCTTTATTTCCCCACGTGTGGGTCAGTGTCTTTGTGCTTCATAAGCGGAAAAGAAACCGAGTTTGAAAGCACACAAATGTAACGGCAGGGTTTCATAAGCTTTATTTCCCCACGGACCCCAAGTACAGTCCATTGATCAGTGCTTATTGACAGGATCTTTAGTTTAGATAGAGTGGAAAACAGGGAGTAGAGGTCTGTCCTACAAGCAAAAATGGGGGGTTTTGATGTGTTTTTGGCCTTCTGTATTAATTTCCTTAAATTACATATACATATCTAATATACTGTATATTCTTTTGCATATATGAATGATTTGTTTGTAAATGGTTTGTTTTATGTTTTGTTTCCTTAAAATAAATCAAGTGGCATCTTTCATGTAATATATATATATATATATAGCCTCTGTTCACATTTATATTTCAGTGAATGCTAGATTTGATAGTCGGATTGGGAGCATCTGAGAATTTAAAATAAGATGAGGATGCAAATCAATTCAGTTAGAAAATTGTTTGCTCTACCTGATGCTGTTCTTGTGATATTGAACATTCTGTTTTCCTTTACCCGGTGTCCACTGTGTAATTTAATAATTTCATCAATTTTCAGTAATATATGCAGTTGCAGATATTAAATGAAGTGTTCTCATAAAATGTTTGTCAAATTACCTCTTTTTGTGTTCAACAGAAGCATGAAATCATGTTTATCCTCCTTGAAAGTGGAATTGTATTAAATTTAGTCTAATTTGATATCACAAAAATACATTTATTTTGGTTGCAGAGTAATCCAGAACCTCTGGTCTAAATGCTATTTATGTCAGAATTTGTCTTTTAATAAGATGCATTTCAGACAAAGTTTAAGGATATCATGATTATCTCCCAGAACTAAAAAAAAAATGTGTTCTCTTGCTCTTTCTCTCCCTCTCTCTATATTCAATCATATATTTGTAGAGCTTCTTTGATGGCTGGGATATCAATAAGAAGAAGGATAAAACTAAGGGAAGGCACGACACCCTGATGGGTTGTGAGTTCATTTTTTCAGTCTTTGCATGCATATCATGATATCATGATCTAGTAATGCCTTTAGACATTCTCAGTTATATAGATTATTTAAACTTACTTCAGTTTCAAAATGTCTGATAATGTAAAGCTTTCATGTGTCTGAAAGTAAAAGGGGGAAATTCATTAACAATAAATGACACCAGCTGGTAGCATTGTTTATTTGCACATTCTGCTGATTCTGCTGTTTTAGCACCCAGAAATCATTTACATTTAGTCATTTAGCAGACGCTTTTATCCAAAGCGACTTACAATCAATCAGTCAAATCAAGTAACAGCTTTAACATACCAACAACATTAGTGTGGAATATAAGGCATTCCCTATAATAAACTTAATTTGTATAGAAAAATACTTTTTTATTGCACAAAAGTAATGTTACCGTAATGTACTGTATGTGTTTTTGTGTTTCAGATGACCGTCACAGGGTGAAATTGCACCCGCTGCTCGGTGATCCCAACTCCGACTATATCAACGCCAATTACATTGATGTAAGTCAGCAGTCACATGCTGTCTTCAGCCAGACTCACAAACATTCACACTGTTTCTGTTATTATGGGGCTCCCTTGGAGTTTATTTGATATTTGTGGACTCTCTCCCTTAGCCTTGCCGTACTGTATGTGGCATATCATCATATCAGTTTTGATAGAAAACTTTTTAGACCGCTAGCTGTCCTTTTTGTGGTGGGTGAAACTTGGTAGGTTTATTCCTGTGCTGGCGTGTCTGACCTCCCAAAGGATTTTAGAGCGTGGTCAGATGTGAAGCGTAGCTTACTGACATGTGTGGCAAAGTGTTTTAGGGTCATTTTGTGTCCGATTTCCCCTTTAATAAAGAGTCAGGTGGGCACTGATGGTCAGCCCTCTTTAAACCTACTATTCAATCCTACTCCTCTAATGGGACCCTCTCCACTTATTTGCTTAAACCAATAGTTCATTCAAAAATGAAAACTAATTGAAATAGTTGAATTTTCAAAATGATGATTAGAAAATGACTGAATTCTCATTTTTGCATAAACTATCCATTTAAAGAGAGTTTAAAACAAGATGCACACTCTAAAATCTTGCAATTTCTATTTGGACCGTTTTAGGGTCATTTTGTGTCCGATTTCCCCTTTAATAAAGAGTCAGGTGGGCACTGATGGTCAGCCCTCTTTAAACCTACTATTCAATCCTACTCCTCTAATGGGACCCTCTCCACTTATTTGCTTAAACCAATAGTTCATCCAAAAATGAAAACTAATTGAAATAGTTGAATTTTCAAAATGATGATTAGAAAATGACTGAATTCTCATTTTTGCATAAACTATCCATTTAAAGAGAGTTTAAAACAAGATGCACACTCTAAAATCTTGCAATTTCTATTTGGACCTTAGATACAGCAGGTGATTTGCTGAATTATGTAGTTTATTTTGAATGGAAGGCTCGAAGTATGTGAAGCATTGAGTGTTTCCAAAGAAATAGGAAGTGAAAGAATAGTCATGAATGAAGGCACATATATGTAACTATATTAAATCTGTAGTATGTATAGTATTTTGGCATTTTTTCCTCTACATGTCATGATTGGCCACAATATCAATTTATCTTCAAATACCTTGTAATTTTAGTGTTTTCAGTATGAACCAATATACAGGAGCAAAACATAGCATAGACCAATTTAACAAGAATTTTTGTTTTTTTCAAGAAGCACAAAAAAAGTCAAGAAAAGACCGATAATGAAAGGATGCTTCTTTTTACTGTTTCTGGTAAACTTGGCAGTAAGTAGAGGCTATTAGGGAACATATTAAAGTGAGTGCAACTGTTGTTTAATGTGTTTACTCCTTTTCATTGCTGTCCTTTCCTTTTGAATAGCTCTTGAATCAGCCTAATAAAGGAACTTGCAAGAAACTAGCTTACACAGGAGTAAATGGAGTAATTTAAAAGACAAGTGTGTATTTTTTTCAATGTTAAAATACTTTCCTAGCCTGAAAGCCATTTGTTTGTTGAGTTCTCTGAGAAGTGTAAAGGCACATTCTGTTGTTTGAACCAGCCCCACATAGCAACAGTGGAGTGAGTTTGGGGGTGGGGCTATCAGTTTGTCCAACCAATGGCAGAAGGAAGGAGTGTCCCGGAAGCCTGTTTGAAAGAAATTATTTTTCAATTCTGTTTGATGATGCTAAAGACACAAAAATTACACACTTCAGAATTTATATTTAGTGTGCAAAGATTTGCCCACCTGCACATCCAAAATATATGCCTCCATTTCAAGTGTTTGTCCCCTGGCGTAGAGCTTAGCTGGCTAACACAAGTCTCTCTCTTTCTTTCTTCTTCTAATTCTCTCTCTTTCTGTCTGTGATCTGTTAATCCTCTAGCTCTCTTCAGCCTCTCATTAACTAGAGTATGTCTTGTCTTTTTCTGCCCCCCTTCCCCACCTCTTCGACTCTTGGACCCTGTAGATTCGGATAAACAGGGAAGTAAGTACTTCACTGCTCTTTCTTTTCTTTCTCTCTGCTTTCTCCCCCCCCTCTGTTTGGATTACTTAAAGAAAAGTGGCTCTGTCACACAGATCTTCTTAATACTCTTCCCTAAATGTGGATGCATAAAAATTTCAGCTTCCATCTGTTTGGTTTCTTATTTCTTACTGGTACCTAGTTTTCACAGTTTCAGGTTTTAAAAAAATATATTCTCTTCACCTTTTCATTTCCACTCTTTTTTAAAAATACAGGTGGAGAAAGGGGTCAAAGGTCAGGATGTTAGTCTTTGTGGTAGGATAGTTGCTGAAAAAACATCTGAACCAGCCTAAGGGGGTTTGTCGGTCTTAGCTGGTGTAAGGTTGTCTCTTAAGACCCCGATATACTTCAAACTAAGTTTGTTTTCTTTCTTCGTTTGGGGGCAAAAAGAAGTTCGAAAAGACTGAGCGACGGTATCCTGTTTCTTAACTTTCCAACACCCCCGTGCTGCTGGAGGCGGGGTGTAGATTAATGTAAACATGTGTTGCGACGCTCGCACGTATCCCCTGAACACAACAACGATGAAATGAAGAAGTGTAGGCAATCTAGGTGTGAGATGCGCCCCAATGGTCAGAATATTATAGACAAAAAAATAATGATTAGCAGCAGTTCAGAGTCAAGTATCATGTTTGCAATACAAAAGAACCATTCCATTTCCATAATCAGTCCTTTATGGGAAGTGTGAATGGCTCATAGTCTGAAAACTTAAAAAAATATGGAAAAAAATATTGGAGTCAGTTTGTTACTTTATTTTATTAGTGTTCATTTATTTTATTAAACTGGATAAATTGTTACACCTTTTTATATTTTATGGGGTGTCATGATTTACTTTTGATAAAAACAAAGGTTTATTATTGTATGTTCGTTTGGCATTTCATTTATTGTATACCCTTTAAATTTGCTTATTGAAAGAACAGCAGCAGCAGCAGCAGTATGGTGTAACATTTATTTGAAACACATGTATTTGGTACTTGCTACCTTATATCTTTACTCTTTCCTTTCATTCTTTTCATGGCTTTGGAAAACTTGTCTCGGATGTTTTTCTACGTCGCTTTTTGCATAACTCCTGGTCGTCGACACAAAGCTTCATTGCAATTTCTTTCTAGGAATTAAATGCTTTCTCTGAATCTTTAAAGTCTCTCCGCGAGCGGTCGTACAGGTGCGGATATATTTGTGCCAGCTCAGCTATTCGACACTCCAGTGTATTCATGTTGCTAGTGACTAGGAGATGTTGTTCTCCTGTCAGACCTCCGTGGAATGAGAAATGAACCGGGGGGGAAAAATCGCACGTCAAAGAAGGTGGAGTTTCAGAACACACCCACCGACTGCGTAATCGCCACGGACCAATGGAAGCTCAAAGGTGTTTAGGAGCCAAAACTAACTCACCCAGAAAGTTTGCTTTGGTCAGCTATTTCGAACTGCCTCAAAACGAACTTCGTTTCGGCCTGATTTTGTTCAAAATGACGTCATATCAGTTCGTTCTTCGATTCCGTTTGAAGTATATCGGGGCCTTTATCCTGTTCAAGCTGGTGCTCAGGTAAGAGGTCAGTCTCCCAGCCTGACCAGTTGAAAAGTGCCTAAAACCTCTTTAAAACCAGATTTTTTCCCCCCATCGAAGCTTTCTTCAGCAGTCTGTAAGACTGAATAAACTCAAAACGAACTTCGTTTCGGCCTGATTTTGTTCAAAATGCCGTCATATCAGTTCGTTCTTCGATTCCGTTTGAAGTATATCGGGGCCTTTATCCTGTTCAAGCTGGTGCTCAGGTAAGAGGTCAGTCTCCCAGCCTGACCAGTTGAAAAGTGTCTAAAACCTCTTTAAAACCAGATTTTTTTCCCCCCATCGAAGCTTTCTTCAGCAGTCTGTAAGACTGAATCCAACCCTTAAACTTACCAATCCATGAATTGTATACTAATTGTATTGAACTGCACCTCAACTTCAGCAGAATCAAACTTTGTGTTGTCCAACAGTGATTTTCTAAAGTTTGCACAAACTATAAGTAGAGTTACTAACAGGAAGTTTAAATTTGAAGAGAATAGACAGGCAGCGCATACGCCAATAGATTGCACCTTTAAAACTGAACAAAAAAAAGCAGGTTTGCTGGTCTTAGCTGAGTTTCGGGCACTTTTCTGCATGCTCAGACTGGAAGACCATCTGACTGAACAGCTAAACACCAACTTGACAGGCTGGGAGACTAACTAGACCAGATGAAACCAGCTAAGAGCAGCAAATTACCTGAAGCTTTCAGACATTTTTTTTTTCCAGCAGGACTCCGATTCTGGATGATGAATGTATGAAAAAGAGCAGGGTGACACTTCATAATAACTTTCATAAACAAAAATATCTAATCATTATACAACAGATTAGTAGTTGTGCATGATAAATAGATAGTAGTTGTTAAATATATCTTTAACCATGGTTGTCTTACTAATAAAAGCCAGATTTGGAGATCTATATAGTATGGTTTCCACCATGGGATAAAAACATACCTTTTATATAGGTGGACTTTCCCCTATAAGGGGTAGTCCTGACCTAATGGTTAGAGAGTCGGACTCGTAACCCAAAGGTTGCGGGTTCGAGTCTCGTACCGGCAGGGATTGTAGGTGGGGTGAGTGAATGTACAGCGCTCTCTCCCACCTTCAATACCACTGCCCTTGAGCAAGGCACCGAACCCCCGGGCGCTGCAGCATAAATGGCTGCCCACTGCTCCGGGTGTGTGTTCACAGTGTGTGTGTGTTCACTGCTGTGTGTGTGCACTTTGGATGGTATAAATTACTTGGCCACACGTCACATCACTATATGGTAAATATGAATATATAAGAATATATTCAAAAGATAATTTGTTGATTTGAAAGTTATTATAAATTGTTGCGAGTAATAGAGCTTTTGCTGAAACCATTTTGACCTCTTGAGTGATATAAACACAAATAGCTTTTTATGCGGTGCATTTATAGCATTGTTTCAGAGTTTTGAGATGCTAGATGTTGTAAAGTATTTTGTTAAGCCTTTTTTAATTATTATTTTGTTTTGTTTTTCTCCCTTTAATGAGCTTCTGTGTCCTGTGAACTTTCCTTCTATTTTCAAATCAGCCATTAAATATATAATTTTAAGCTTGATGTACTGTATCATCAACTTAAAAAAGTGCTGCATTTTGGCTACATTGGGGTAGTTGCAGCTTTGGGCTTGTGATATGATCATCATGGATAGGGTGACCCATGAACTGAATCATTACTGCGATCCCCTATCGCTATCGTGCCCTTGAGCAAAACATGTACCTCACATTTTCTTCAGCGGGATGGTCCCTGTTAGTGTGCTATAAATCCTGTTGCACTGCTGTGTAATGTACTACACCTTCATTCATTTCTTTATTTCTTTATTACATTTTTTTTTAGGCCTATATGGCTGCTCTTTACTCTTTAACCATGGTTGTCTTACTAATAAAAGCCATATTTGGAGATCTATATAGTATGGTTTCCACCATGGGATAAGAACATACCTTTTATATAGGTGTATATGGTAAAACATAAGGTAATTGCAACTTTTTGTCTCACTTTTTCCTCACAATTCAGACTTTTTTCTTAAAATTGTAAGATATAAACTCAGAATTACAAAATCAGCAAAATTGTGATATAAAAATTTGCAATTATTTGTTACTATAGTGTTGTCTTATAGTTTTTTATCACACAGTATAATTGAATATTTATACATGAAAATATATAGCTGCCTCTGTATTTTAGTAAGGGAGTCATTGACAAGAGGATCATCATATTTGAGGGTCCCTGGCATTAAAAATGTTTGAAAACCCTTGATATAAGTAATAGAAAATCATGCTACTACTTGAATCAGCAGAACAAAGCTCTTTTGGACCAGTTGTCTTCCCAGTGTTTTTCCCTGCATCCCCTGTATTCTCCAAACCCCATAGACTGATGAATCCTTTCTGTGTGGAACAAACATCCCCCACAATTTATTTTTCCGTCTACTGTGTATCTGTTTCTATGTTTGTTTGTACAGTGTGCAGGAAATAGCTTGGCCCAATCTAAAGAGTAATGGGCGTCTGCAGTGTTCTAAATGAAGCAGCAAATGCTCAGCAACAATAAAGAACATGTCTCTATTATTCCGCTAACGTCTGTTAAATGAAAACAGATCCAGTTTTTGGGAGCATCCCCAGGTAGTTCTTTGAAAAGGCTTAGCTTTGATGAATAAATTGCATGTTTTGAGATGTTCCTAGAGTTTCTTTCTCCCTGTTCATTCCAAACATGAGCTGATGGAGGAATCGTGTAGGGAGCTCATGTCTTCCATGATGAGTTTTATGTCTGGGCAAATGAGCATTACTTTTGTAGCAGGGTGCCTTTTTTTTTTTTTTTTTTTTGTGCCTCAGACTTATTAATAGTGTTGAAGCGTAACAAACACTACTAGCTGTACTACTGATTTGACTACATTTTTCAGTTTGCTTTTAGTTTCCAAAAAAATGGCCTTGCCTTTCAGTTTGTAATTGTAAAGAGAGTGTGTATTGAGACACACTCTTTTTACAATTTCTAAAGTAGTGTTGGGAGGTGGTTTCATGTAAGGTTATATTTAGTTTAGCTTTTAGTTTAGTTGTAGTCTAGATTTATGTGCTCAGTTGGCGTCATCCTAATTTAGAGCCTCATAAAAATGTTTATCGAAATTATTTGATCAATATTTAATAAAAAATGCCTTTTTAAATAAACTTGATGTATCTATGTTTTAGTTATTTATTTTACTTTTATGGTGTAGCTAATTACTTTTTAAATGGGTAGCGGTAGCTTGACTGTAGCTTAAAGGTGTACTCACAAATTTTTTTCCTTATTAAAAATGTTTATCCCTAAAAAATGAATAGTACTCGTACTATGTAGTAGAAAAATGTATTACATTTATACTGTCAAAGTTAATGTGTTAACATGAAATTAATTAAATACTACTACTACTGTTTAATGCTGTTAACATATTTCTTTATTTTTCCATTAAACGTGTTATCTACAATAAAAATGAGATTAATCTAGATTAAATACTTGGAACAATTGATAGCCCTAATTTAAAATCATGCACACCCACATTACACACACACACACACACACACACACACACATACATATATATATATATATATATATATACACATATATATATATATATATATATATATATATATATATATATATATATATATATATATATATA